ATTTAACGCATACCTATGCAGCAAATGTGTGGATTTTCACGTCAAAGACGTGAAAATCCACAAATTTGACGTAGAATCTATACCTATGCAACACATTTGTGGATGTTTACGTCAAAGACGTGAAAATCCACAAATATGACGTATACCTATGCAAAAAAATTGTGGATTTTCACAAATTTGACGTGTACCTATGCAACAAATTTGTGGATTTTTACGTCAAAGACGTGAAAATCCACAAAATTGACGTATAGCTATGCAAAAAAAAATTGTGGATTTTCACAAATTTGACGTATACCTTTGCTTGGTAATTTTTTCGTTTTTCTGTACTCAATGTTTTTTCACAAACACCAATCGGAAATGATTCCACCAGGTCAACCCCCAGGTCAGCCCTCTGACGCGATGCGGGATCCCGCTTTGTCGGAGTATCCAGAACCAGAACCATGTCAAGTATCAAGTTTATTTGTCTTCCAGAAAACACATGTGAACAAATATAATAGAGTATAATCATAACAGTACAAAGTAGAATAAAGGAAGACGAGGAGTCTAGACCTTGGTTGAAGCACAGCTTATTAAGTTAAGGCCCCCTCATATGATGTGTCAAAGATAACTTGTTCATGAATACAACAAATGGCCCTGAAGGACACAGACATGAAAATCTGCGTCCGATATTCATGTCTGCGTCTCCCACAAGGGACACGCAATATTGGACGCAGATTTTTTTTTTAATTCACGTCTTGGACGTTAAACAAACAATAAAACCCTTGCATAAGTATACGTCAATTTGTAGATTGTCACGTCTTTGACGTGAAAATCCACAAATTTGCTGCATACGTCAAATTTGCGTTTGCGTGTCCCTTAGGATACGAAAGCCTTACGATAGTCATACGATAGCCTTTTTTATGAATGGAATCTGTCGGTGAGGGCGACGGTGAGTTTTCAAGGTTTTAATTAAGTACGGATCAGATAATTTATGTGAACAATGATGCTATTTGCAAAAATTAAAAATTACATGTGTTGCTATTGATATTGTCTTTTAAGTTAAGATAAATAATGATGTTAATCGTCATAACAAATTAAAATTATGACAAGTTATTGTGTAATGTTTGCCCAAAACTGGCTGCTGCTTTAGTCCCAATTCCAAGTTCCTCATAATTTCATTTCACTATAAAAATCGTTTTCCCAAACATTAAAAATAAGGCCCACGGGTATAAACAGATAGCACTGGAAGCTTTACCTGTGTGTAGAATGATTACAAATAGGCACAGAGCCTAGTCCGTGAAAGGTTTATCAATACGAAAAAAATCTATTATTTCTTTGCCAATAAAGTGCTGGCCGTTGTTGACAAACATATCTTCGTGTCGTCCCTTTCTATATGTTGAAGTTGCAGTACGTTAAAGCCACGTGCGTGTATAAAGATAAATTATACATAAAGAACACTCAATGGATGGACTCGGGACAGAAGTGGTCTTTTTATAGGCAGATGGTTTGTGTGCATGGTTTTCTTTTGAACTAGTTTCCATTAAAACGAAAAATGAGGTCTTTATAGACAGGTTGGTTTTTAATACGGAGGGTCAAAAGCGCGTTTGACCATACTGAAATTCTAATACAGTGATTATACACCGATTCTCTTTCTTATGATTATTCTTGGCCAGTGGATTTTCAGGCCAGTATATATGTGCACTCTCTCCACTCTGTAGGGAGTATTCGTACCATCTTGCCCCCACCACCCACACACACACACACACACACACACACACATGTTAGTAACAAGTAATAATGTGTGTTTTGCATGCACCTTTATTGATATCGTTTATTTACCTTCAATTTATTTCAATGTCATTTTTGTGTTTAATATTGAGAACGTATGAGAATGATACCTTTCCTCAATTGTTTAATATAATGACTACACACTTACGATGGGGGCGTTTCACAAAACTTGTCATCAGTGACAAATCACAGTTTTTGTTATAAGCTACTGAAATCCTTGCTTCTGATTGGTTATCAGCAGATTTGTCACTGAAAAGGGCTTTGTGAAACTCCCCCTGCATACAACGCTGATCCACTTGGTCGCCCAAATGGTTCATCCTATGCACTTCATTGTAACCTTATTCAATAAATTGCATTTATAGAATATATGCGATTGTGACGTATTAAATGCATAGCGTCGCCGGTTGCTAAGTAAATATAAACAAGGCAACCGGCTGCCTGTCGATGACCGAGCTATGAATTGCTCCAGGGGTGATTTTCCACAATACATACATATTCTGTGTCAGGAATATTTCCATCATCATATTATATGTTCATTTTCATTTTCATTTTTACCATCATCATTATCACCAACATCAGCACCATCCATTTGATAATGGATTGTAATACTGTGTAAGGTGAGGGTGCGATGGCTTAGTGATAGAGCAGTGGTCGCGTAATCGGGAGGTCCCAGGTTCGAAGCAAAGTCAATGCGGTTGTGCCCTTTGATAAGGCATTAATCCCCATAATCAAGTCTCTCGGATAGGGCTTAAAGTCATCGACCCCTGGTTCTTTACTCTGACGTGCTTAGCAGTGAGGTAAAACAATCATTAAACAAACGTATACATTTACTAGCCCTACAAATCAAAGAAATAATGGACAACCGCTCTCCTGAACTTCGAAAAAATTTGCCAGGAGGCACATAAAACCCCCATCGTTCATCTTTCTATTTGGCTTTTGGCGTCGTTAGCTGAACTTTAAAAAAATACCCCAATAAAATGGGGGCAGCAAGGGGGAAGAAATTAAATCAACTTTACACAAGACCCCTTCACCGCCGAGGACAATAACCACCGACACCCCCCCCCCCCCCCCAGGACAATTAAATCCCAAATAAAATATTCTTTCTTTATTAAAACCAACTTATTATCAGAGTGGACTTTTCCTTTTATGAACAGGGGGAGGGGGGAATTGTCCTTGGGGTTGTCCTTGACGGGAGGGGGAATTATACACGGAGATAATTTTCAAAGATGGGGGGGGGGTTCTTTCGTTTATGTAGCTGCATTTCTTTGCAGTTCTCTTTGGAACAATCTCCCCCTTCAAATTCGAAATGCTAGTTTTTTAAACAATGCAGTCTTGTTCCTGAATAGCCCTTTTGACCTTTTTCCTTTCATATGATATGTTGTAGATTAACGTAGGATACTCTGAATTATGGACTATTCGTATTTTGATTGTAAGTGATCTGTAATATGTACATGTATTATTTCATTTGCAAAGTTTTAATGTTATTTGAATTGATTGATGTAATTTGTAATGCAACTTCTGTTTCCTTTACTTTCAACTATTTTCCTTCTAAACCGCTTAAAGGCAATATGCAATTTGCGGTATAGAAATATCTTATTATTATTATCACTAATTGTCCTCGGGGTAATTGCCAACGGGAGGTGATTGTCCTGAGGTTAGGGGCTAACTTTCCTGTGATATTTGTCCTCGGGGGTGGTTGTCTATTGGGGGGGGGGGGGGTAATTTTCTGGGGGTAATTTTCAAGGTGATATTTTTTTTATTTTTTTTTTGGGGGGGGGGGGGGTAGTTTTCCGGGGGTTATTGGCCAAGGTGAGATTGTCCATCCTGGCATTTTCCTGATACGAATAAGACTAATATAAGATTTCCTCTCTCTCTTTCTCTCTCTCACACACACACACACACACTCCATTTCTCACTCACTCATTCTCTCTTCATCTCTCTCTCTCTCTCTCTCTCTCTCTCCTTCTGTCTCTCTCTCTCTCTCTCTCTGATCTTCTTTCTATCTCTCGCTATCATTCCCTCTCTCTCTCTCTCTCTCTCTCTCTCTCAGTCCATTCTTATCTTTCCAGTCTTAATAAGAAGTTACCGACAAAATAGAACTTCAATATTTCATAATGCATAAAATATGTCTTTATTAAAAATGTATTTCAGTGAAGTCATTAATACAAAAAGTAAAAGGGAGTGCGGAATATGCATTCTCCTCTTTTTTGTAATTTTATTATTTTTGAAACCATGGTACATCGATAAATTTGAGAATTGACAGTATTTTCACGTTTATCACTAATACTTCAACCGAAAAAATCCTTTGATACTTTAAAAATGGGAGACCCTATAAGATCGTTAGCAATATGTATGAATAAATAAATTGTCCCGATATAACCATCAAGAAATAATAGAGCTCATAAATTATTGTCAACGTACTGATATCAACGCAGCTGAGGAGAATGAGGACCGTGCAAGCTACAGAATATTACATTCTAGCCATATCAGACTAGGTGCTCTTGGTCAATTTATGAAGAAAATGGCGAGGCCAAAGTCGTGCTGTTAAAATGTACATTATCTTTGCTTTATACCTCGCTCATACACTTTGGTGGGAAATCTTGTAAATCAACACACATTTTGGTAGATAAAAAAAAATAATGGGCAAGAAAACCGTACATCTCTCAGAGTAGCTAAAGTTATTCCTTGGGGTTTCCTTTAAGTTATGCATTATTGGGACATCCAGTGTTGCTGTTTACAGGCCTGAGAGTTGTAAACAAATTTAGGTAAATTATGACTACCTGTGTACAAATCGTGCAAACGGCTAACAATATGTTTTAACGCCGCGTTAGCTTTCTTATCCTTTATGCACGGTTGCTCAGTGTCCACACGTGCACTTCTGCACAAAAGAATATGCACCGAAAACGGAACGATTGGTTTAAGCAACATTACCCTTTTGCAACCATACACTTTTTCCGGTCTTGATTAGCTCCATGACAACAGTACTAGCCTTATACCACAGCTATAGATAGAATTTGCTCTGGAATAGTTCAATATTATTGTAGCCCTTGATAAATACATTATGGCTCAGGGAGATTATTTGTGTGGCATATAAAGTGTTAACTTCAACATCATCATCATTATACTAATCACCTAGTTTAGTTTTTCAAGAGCAGCAGCAAGTGATAAAACATCAATAAGCGGAACCTTAAGATCATCTTTCATAGACTGGTAGAAAGCTTGTGGGGCTGTGATTAGTAGTTTCTTCAGTTGCAGTAGTTGGGTTCCATTGAGGGTTTTCAAAGCTTTGTTACGTGTTGTGACGCTGTTAGCTGCCAGCCAATCCTGGACCTTCTTGGAATCCCATCCGGGTACTTGAGATTCCACTGGAGGTGGTTTCGGTTCTTGCTCTGGAGACGGGGGACCTTTCGAGTAAAATAGAGCACAAGTAAATAATCGAAACTCGTTTAAAAACACATACATATATAATAACATTTCACAAAATATGAATTCAATCACCAAAACAAATATTATTCGCCTTGTTTTTTCTGCTAGGTTAGTTTTTACTCACTGTAACTAAAATAAATCTCTGTATGAAAAATGTGTAATTGTAAGTATACATGTATACTTTCAACGATGCTAATGCTTATTTATGTTATGCTAAAATATTCATGCTAATAAAGAAGCATGCAAGAGTACGAACAAAAACTAGAAGGTCAGTTTTTTCTTTAAAAAAAATGATATACACAGAATAGCAACTTATCACGTAACCAAGGAATAAAACAAAGGATATAAACTAATGACATAAAGGTTATTATTTAGATATTAAAAAACTCTCTCTCTCTCTCTCTCTCTCTTCTCTCTCTCTCTCTCTCTCTTCTCTCTCTCTCTCTCACTCTCTTTACAGTGTAAGTGACATACCGGGAGCAGCGTTCATGTTCTGGACCGTTTCTTTCTGCACTGCGAATTCTTTTTCAATGATGCTGGAGAGTACCTCGGAGACAAGCTCGGCTTGCTGAACGATTTAGTAGATCTTCCCTGCCGTGATACCGCCTAGCCAACCAGAAGCTTTGAAGTCATTATTCACCTTCACAGGGATAATCTTCTTCTTGCATTCGTAGGCATAAGACGCTTCTAAAAACATGAAACAAAAGATCCATTTAAAAATTATATTTTAATGATTTCATATCGGCTGGGAAAGATTGTAAGAAAAGAAATTTCCTTTGAAAAGAAAGAAATGTTATTCAAATTCATAGGCAATTCGATACCATTCGTTTGTATACCCACAATACAAGTGTTAAAAATCACCAGGATTAGCCTTTAGTTTTACGACCGACAGACCTCATGTAATACCTTGTATTCCCCAATAAGGTAAGTCATTATCTTACATATTCCTAACCCAAAGACTCTCTTGATTAGAACACTAAGAAATAAGGGCACAATTGGGGTGCAGACTTGCAAACACCTTCATGTATTTGGCAGAGAGTGCTGCTATTTTAGCATAATTGCACCCTTTTCTATTATTGTGTGTATGTGTGTGTGTGTGTGCGTGTGCGTGCGTGTGTGCGTGCGTGAGTGTGTGTGTGCATACTTGCACACCGAATACTGGTATTTCCGCCAAGTCTGGTGCCAGCGAATTATGGTTTTCTGCAGATGGAACTAATATCGACCTTCTCCCTTTAAGTCAACTGATGTCTATGAGAAGAAGAGGTAAATCAATGAGCACCCCGGCAAGTGATAGGTTTAAAATGCAAATTAGTGGGCTCTCATAGGGAATTCGACACCAATCGAGTGTTTAAGTAATAATCTACGTTGTCAGTTACTAGGATTAGCCTTCAGTTGTATGACCTAAAGGTCATATGTTATGCTCAGCATTCCCTCATATTGTAAAGTCAATTTCTTACATTTTCCTCACTCGAAGACTCTCTGAGTGTATTTCTTGATTGAACAACGGTTATGCTGTGGCAGACTTGTACAACCATCAAAGGTATTTCTACTAAGTCTGGTGTCAGCGAATTATGACCTTTTGCACATGAACGACTGGCATTGATCAGAAGGAGAGGTCGATCTTTTCTCACCTGTACGGCACTCTTGACTATCTTGGTAACCACGTGTGATACATGCTATGATCATATCAGCATTCTCTACGGCTTCTGCCATGGCACCAATTTTATCACCCACTGAGACAAGAAAGAAGAAAAAATGAAAAAAGAAGTGGGAAAGAGTTAAAAGGAAAAGGAGAAAAATGGGAAAAATAGGATTAATATTAGTCATAAAAATAACAATAACCTGGCTTCTAAAGTGCATCTCATCTTCAGACAAAATATCAATATCAGATAACTACTAATTCATGAACTATTAGAAATATCAAACTAATGACAAGATTAATCATAACCAATCATTATCAACATCAATTACAGAGAAATGAAAGCAAACTATGATAAGGTAAAATAAATGAATTAAATTTTGATGAAAGCAGGTGAAATGTCATTATGAAGCGTTTTTGAACAAGTAAGATTTCAGTTGTGACTTAAAGAACGTCTGTGGTGGTTCGGAATGTAGGGCGAGAGAGGTCCAACGACGCAAAGCTGTATAATTGTGAGAATCTTCTGGAACCGTATAACTTTTCCCTGTCGTTCGTGGGTTCAATGAAGTGTTGAGATGCAGGGCGGAAGGATCGAGTGGGTACGTGAGGTGTAACAAGTTCAGATATGTAGCTAGGACAGAGTTCATGAATTGCCTTAAGAGTTAGAAGGATGCCTTTGTACTGGGATACGGGCAGCTAATGGAGTTTCCGTAGAGGGGGAGTGATATGATCTTGCCTCGTTAATTTAGAAACTAGACTGGCAGCTGAATTTTAAATTCGCTGATATTTGGCGATGTCTTTATTGGGGAGATTGATGAGGAAAGAATTACAAGAATCAAGAAGACAGGTGACGAAGGAATGGACAAAGATTTCAGTTGTGTGAATGTCGAGGAGACTTCTTATCTCGTGGATATTGAAGAGAGATATGGATGCATCCCAACGGATAGAGTTAAGTGTTTATCGAGCACAAGTTCAAGATCTCGTACAGTTGTGCTGCTACAGATGCTGGTGTCACAAACCATAGGTGAAGGCAGTTCCTGATGAGGGTCACGCTTCCTGTTTGATGTTAAATGAATTATTTCAGTTTCGTTATCATTGATAACAAGTATGTTATCCTTAATCCAATTGCGAATCTCACTGATACACAACTCTTTCTTTTGACTCATGTCTTGTAAGGAGTCGTAGCTGTGCACAACTTCAGGTCGTCGATATACATCATACACTCATCGTTGTGCGGTTCTGCAATGCCCTACAGAAGAGTTGTTAATCAGATGAATAACAGTGGCCCTATCATTTACCCCTGTGGTACTCCCCATCCCCTTCAGAGCTTGACGTCTTAGAAACAACGAGTACTCGCTGTTCCCTTCCCTACAGGTAGGAGGCAAGCCATTCTTTTACAACACATGTGAAAGCCTCTTCAGCAAGATGATTTGATCTACAGTGTCAAAAGCTGAGCTAAGATCGAGGACAACCACTTTCATTTTCAAGGGTTTTCAAAAGTTTCAATACTAAATGTTGGTCTGTAAGCTGACTGTCTCGGAGCAAGCAGAGCATTGTCCCTCAGAAAAGTCAATAGTTGCTAGCTGGCATACAATTCGCTCGATGTTCTTGCCGAGGTAGGGAAGATTTGAGATAGGCTGATAGATTCGAAGACAATCAGGATAAAGAAGGATAAAAAGAAAGAAGAATGAAGAAGAAGACAAAAAAGAAGGAGAAGGAAGAAGAATAATCATGGATAATCAAGCTCTAGTTTTTGGGGGAGGGAAATCTGAAGTATATGCAATTACCACAGCCATGGTGGTACAGAAGTAAGCGTCATATGAGAAAATAGTATTAAAAAGATAATTTCCTGTAATCATCTGCTCCAGCCATCTTCGGAATTCACCAGCTTAAATTACTTGTTGCAACTTTGCATGAAAGACAAGAACGAGACATGCATTAGGATAAAGATTCACGTCATGTTTGAAAATTATTAATCTTCCTAAGAAAAGTGTTTGCAGATAAACTTACTCATGTGGTCTTCATCCATCCATACGTTGTAGCCTCTTTTTCGCAGCTGTTTCTTGAACTCGCGCATCACAGGTTTAGACGGGTGTTCCCATTTGTAGCTGAGCATGATGTGTCCACTCGACTTTGCACTGTCCGACGGCGCCCTCTGCTGTGACTCGACATCTGTTTTCTTGTGGGTCAGGCCTTCGGGAAGTTTGGATTCGTAGATCTCGAAGAGAGCGCCCATACAAGCATTGCGGAGATTTTCGTTTTTACTCTGTGAATTCTCCGTCAGATCTTGTTAGTTAATAAAAGAAAATATGATAGCGTCTCTTTAAGGCCAGAAGGGTAGTAACTTAAGAACGTTATTCACGTCCTTCTATCTCTGAACACAAAAAAATGCTTCCTCTCGTACAATGGTTGCAAGAAAATATTCACTCCGTGTAGGCCTAGTACGTCACTGCACAACATTTGATGTTACTAATGCCCATGGTAGGTATATTCAATATGAAAAATCCTTCTCATAAACTTAATTTGTTCTTTACTCATCATTTTAAAAATTCAATTACAAATTACAACATTTTACAACCCTCCCCCCCCCCTCCCTCCTTTCCTTTCCCTCCCTTACTATTCCTGTACATTTCGTTGTGGTTACCCAAATGTATTGGGGGCTACGCCCCTCCAACCATTTCTTACACATATGATTTCAACTTAAGCAAAAACATAAATCCATCATAATTGTCTGTCAAGTATCGTTATGAGGACACATCGAACGCTAATGGTAATAATTTAAGTAAAGCATCATACGTTTTACATATGCAGTTGTTAACATTACGCTCCCATGTTATTATGATCATGAATAATGCAGAGAATGTTTGCTTACTGTAGATGATACCCTGTTCTTTTCGCAGCTTTTCTTTATTTTCCTTGAGAAATGCTAGTCTCCAGATTCCGTTGGCGGCAGAAGTTTTCTCCTCCACGGAACAATCTTGTTGGAGCAATTTAGCGAGGATAGGAATGCCCCCCTTTTCAACTATCAGCCGTTTGTTGTTGTCGTTGATTGCCAGATCATCTACTGATTTGACTAACTCCTCTGCATGAATAATAATAGATTTTCCAATTTTCTCCTTGGATGATTGTCGGCGTGACTCTGCCTTATGATCAGGGTTGGAGAGACATTTCTTCAACAGCGAAAGTAGTGATACGATACAGGTGTAGTTGGTGGAAAGCTTGTCGGCCTCTTCTTTCTTCACCAGCTTTGCCAACGTCATGAATGCCATTGTCTGTGTCAAGCTGTCTTCCGACTCGCCAAATTTCTGCAAGGCAGGCACTGCCCGATGATGCTTGGGAGTCAGAGTCGGCACTCTTCTGAAGGCGTTTTGAAATATGTTTATCGCTTCAAAAATCATTGCATCTACCCATTTGTTCATCTCCGTGTCACTCTTCACGAGGTGTAAAAACCAATCGACAATCAAAGACAGGCATCCATCTTCTTCCATTTGTAAACAGAAGTAATCAGACTCATCAGTAAAGTTCCAACCAGAACCAAGCAGTGCGTTATAGAATGTGAACATGTGTGTGAGCTCATGTGATAGTTCTTCTTGTTGATCAGCGCCTTCAAGCTTCTGTACCATATCTCCCTTTGTCCACGTATAAGCAAACATTTTGCAGTAGTCCGTGTCAATGCCCAAACCATCCGCTACAGCGTTCAGATCAAGGTCATCGTTATATGAAACTGTGCGGATGTCATTCATCCTTTCAAGACACGAGGTGCATGGGAAACATTTACAATCCTGAATGTGCTTGATATTGGCTTTGACAAGGGTAAGGCATTGTTTTACCTCGTCACCGAACTCTTCGATCCGTTTTGCTTTAGCAGCTGCAGAGTCAACGAGAAGAATATCTGAAATGGCAGTCAATGTCCCCGATGAAGCATCGTCGATAGTGCCTTCTTGCTGAATCGCGACATTCTGAGCATCGGCTTTTCCATTGGAGTTCGGTGAAGCAATCGTTTTCGGTTGTGAAGGACCGCCATCGGTTTCATCTGGAACTACAACAGCATCGTCTTTGGTCAACGTTTTGCTCTGCCCTTCCGCTAGTGGTCCACCAGAATGTACTTCGTTGGATGAGGAAGGTCCTTCAACTTTCCTGGCTGACGAAATCCTTCTGGTACTTGCTGAAGACCCCATGTTTATGAGAAACCGTCAGACACTGTCAAATAAACATTGAAGAATTGCTCCATGATTAGGTAAATGTGGTAGTATATACCAAAATGGGAATTTAGTGATGACGAGCAGAATGATGACTACCTACAATAGTTCCTGATTTAGATCTCATGTCCCCGGTTACCAAAGACGTTTTCCTCAAAGTAACCAGATGTATTACATACATCCTTGTGAAGGGCCTCAATATTAATATTACATTCACCAAGTTCAATTTCAATTTCATTTATTTCCACAAATTCATAAAAGACAGTATAAATTACAATCAAATACAAAAGCATTACAACAAAAGATGAACCTGCTTAAAATTATAATATCAAAATACAATTTATTTATTTTTAATTAAACAATAACACATACATAAACATATATAGATATTACGTGCAAATCTATGTGTGGGGAGAGTAGTAGTGGGTTGGTGGTACCAAGAAATACAATATATAGAAGAAATGAATGATATACAGGAAAGAAATATTGAGAAAATAGAAAGAAACACCGTCCAAAGTAGTAATGAATAAATATATTTCAATAGTTAGAATGCAACATGTTTCTCCTACCTGGCAACTGATAAAGTATATATTTCGCATTTTATAGACACCAAATTATTCGTTACACGAGAATAAAATCCTTCGTATCGAGGCAGTTGACAAAGATTTCTGCATGAAACTTGATTACATTACGAAAATGGCCTATTGTCGTATAAACAAATGGTTGGTCATCTCGCTGGCTTATTCAACTTTCGTATTTGTATATATGATATATGTAGGCTAGCCCACAGTTGTTTATTGTCACAAAATCGAAATATCAACAACCGTGCAGACTTATGCAAAAACACATCATCATTCATATACACAGGATACTATTATTATCAAATATGACTATTATTGATATTACCTGCTCAGACGATAGTAGATCCTGTTTGTGAAAGCTTTCCGACAAGCAATGAAGTTTCAAATGATCTTATGTCTACTATAGTGTTTATTTAGAATTGTTGCTCTCTCCAACGGTAAGTCAAGTGCATGTAGTAGGCATATACTTATATGATTGCCCATATAACGAGCTATTGAATCCGTTCACGAAGCGCCGTTGCTTGTGCACTGGTGGGGACACTGCTGGTTTGTGACAGTCCCATGGCAACGAGCGAAACCATTATGATAATTAGCTCACGATAGCCTTTTTATGAATGAAATCTCTCGATGAGGGCTACGGCGATGAAGTTCACTAGGATTGGCAAGCATAAAAATCAGACCGTTTCCATTAATAACGATACTTCTTACAATCATGACAATTAGTATTATAGTTGCTATACATAGTGTTAGTAGTAGTGGTAGTAGTAGTAGTAGTAGTAGTAGTAGTAGTAGAAGTAGTAGTAGTAGTAGTAGTAGCATCAGCAGCAACAGCAGCAGTAGTAGTAGTAGTAGTAGTAGTAGTAGTAGTAGTAGTAGTAGTAGTAGTAGTAGTAGTTGTAGTAGTAGTAGTAGTAGTAGTAGGAGGAGGAGGAGGAGGAGGAGTAGTATTCGTAGTAGTATTGTTGTTGATGATTAGTATTAGTATTAGTATTATAATTATTATTATTACGTCTATTGATATTATTAATTATTATAATTACTAGTGTTACTATTATCATCATCCTCATCATCATCACCTTTACCATCATGCTATTGTTATTATTATCATTATTCTCGTTTTCAGATCTGGGATTGGTATTATGAAAACAATATCGTCTATTACGTTACGAAAATGATGCTAACCGTCAGAACAAATCAAAATTAGGACAAATCATTGACTAATGTTTGCTTAAAACATGGCATATAACTTTATAATAGATGGTAACTTTGCCATCAATGGTAACTACCATGGAAACCTTGAGTAGTTGCCAATGATGGCGAATTTACCACCAATGGTAAGTGTTTTGCAACGGTGCCCTGGTTGCGTTAGCGTAAACTTAGCAGAAGCATCTGCTTTAGTACCAATGCTAAATTTCTTCATAATTTAATTTTGCCATAAGGATTAAAATCGTTTTCCCAAACATAAAAAGTACGGCCCTCGAGTATAAAAGGATACCATTGAAAGCTTTGCCCATGTGTAGAATGATAACAAATAAGCCGAGAGCCTTGTACGTGAAAGTTTATTATGTCGTCACAATCAATTTTTTTTTCTTCAATAAAGTGCTGGCCTTTGTTGATAATCCCAATTCCGTGTCATCTCTTTATATTGATGTAGTTGCAGTATAGGCCGTGTGGGGGGGGGGGGGGGATATCAAAGCAAAGAAATGGCGTTTTTTCTTCTCCCGTAAGAGATTGAGAGAGATTACGGACTTTTAGATTTGCGCGCCGACATAGTAGGCTGCTATGTATGACGTCCTTTTTAATAAGCGACTGTGACGTCCTTTTAAGGCACTGTCAATGCCTTAAAAGGACGTCACACGTAGCAGTCCACTATGTCGACGTGCTAATCTAAAAGTCCCTATTGTGGTCGTTATAGGCGAAGGGTGTAAATGCATAGGTTTTCGTAGTACATGTTTCAATTACAACAGGTGGTCTGTTTATACAGATGATCACTAAAGCGTGTTGACTGTTATAATGACATTCATACCATGTATTCATATAGTGCCCTCTGATTCCATCAATGCGATTTCCTATGATTATTCCTGGTAAGTCGATTTCAAGCCAGTATTATTTGTGCTTTCTCTCCACTCATAGGGAGTATTCATACCATATTACCCTTCCCCCCCCCCCCCAAAAAAAAACAAAAACAAACAAACAAACAAACATACAAACAAACAAAACAAACAAACAAAACAAAAAACACACACACGCCCACACACATCCGTATGTTCGCTTTGGTAAGTCATTAATTATCATTACCAAGTCCCTCTGTCCCTCGGAGAGGACACAAAGTCATCGATCCCCTGATTGTTTTAATGTATGCTTTCTTAGCAGTCAGGTAAAAGAACCATCAAAACACACGTTTAAAATTACCTAAACCTACAAAACAAAGAAATATTGGATTGTCAGTCTTGTACGTGAGCCTCGAAAACAAAAGTATTTTACTGATGACCTTTGTATATTTGTAAAGCGCTTAGAGACATTTGTATTAAGCGCTATATAAAAATTAAATATTATTATTATTATTGACTATGTTATCATGTTTATTTAGCCCAAATATCGACCCGAAAACCGGACGACCTTTTTTTTTCCCCTGTAACATATATTTTCTCCCCTCCACTCCTCGAATCCTGAACCCGCCACTTTAGGTACAAGCACACCGGAAGGAAACGGGAAGTATGTGTTCGTGGCTGATGGTCTGGTGTCGTCAAAGTTCCGGATATTTATTTATTTATTTATTTCTAATCTTTTGACAGGGTAGCCCATTCACCTACAAGTAGTGTTCTTCCATGGGGCCCTGAATGAACATATTTACATCGTTTATAACATTTATACAGAACAGTTACAAAAATAATACATGATAAACATGTCATGTATTGTCATCATTGGACTAATGGATATTTGTTTACTTTCTCACTCGCTTTGGCTTCATAAGATTCTTCATCCCATTTACTGAGACGCAGGTATATAACATTCATTTTTCCTCTCTCTCTCTCTCTCTCTCTCTCTCTCTCTTCATCTCTCTCTCTCTCTCTCTTCATCTCTCTCTCTCTCTCTCTCTCTTACACTCTCCCGTTCTCCCTCTCTCTGCCCTTCTCTGCTCTTCTCTCTCCCTCTCTCGCTCTATCTCTCTCTCTCTCTCTTCATCTCTGCTCTTCTCTCTCTCGCTCTCTCTCTCTCTCTCTCTCTATCTCCCTTTCTCTACTACCCTTCTTATTTGTTCAGTCTTAATAAGAAGCTGGCGAAAGAAAATCAACATAGAACTTTAGTATTTCATAATGTATAAAACATATCTTTATTAAACAAATTATTTCAGTGAAGTCATTAATAAACTATATAAAAGGGAATATCTTTGAGCATTATCAGGTGGGCTGTATCTAATAGACCACCTTATAATGTTGTTAAAATTGCCTTTATTTCTTTATTTTTCTTATTTCGACCCACTTTTTTGTGAGCAAGATAACTTAAAAATGGTTCAATCAAATACCTTGAAATTTGGCACACGTATGTATAGGCATTAGAACAAAGCACAGACAAATTTTCAACCTTGAACTTGACTGATGACGTCATCTAGGCGCCATTTTGTGAAATTTTCTGAAAATCAACTCATGGTCATATCTTCATAGCAAAAGCCATTTTTTTTTTTTTTTTTCTTTTTTTTTTATTTGATTTATTGGTTTCTGCATCTTTTTTTTTCTTTTTTCATCATACATTTTCATGAACATAATATGGTTTGATACAATATTTTAAGTGTATATAATTCTCATTCATATTTATCATGATCAAGGTCAATATCAGTCCGGTCAATTTCAGGACAAAAAAACGCGCGCGTGCGCGTACGTCCGCGCGTTAATGAGCGCGCAAAAATTTAAAATGCTCAAAATTGTCTCAAATTTTTTTTGCATACGTTTCAGGTCATTTTAAGCATTTTATAAAAAATCGCGCACACGCGCATGCGCGCGCGTTTTCGCGCGTAACACCATTACACAACATAGAATCGCCATTCGTTTTTCTTTCATGATATTTCTCATATTTTTTCGAGGAATTTGATACCATGTTTATCTCTTTATGACCATTAATAACAAGATGAGCGTCCATTCAAGATAAATGTCCGTGCGCGCGAGCTCTTTTAATACATAGCATATAATGGGCAAAAACATGCCTATACAAAATCCATTATACCTCTTTGGAATGAGCCGTGACCTTCAATTTTTTTCATATTTAGATAGAGTATGAGTCGGAGATATGATTCCATGTCTCATTTGGCCATTAAGTGTATCGTGACATCATCATAATGGCCTTGGAACTCAAAATACGAATTTGAATATTATGACGTCAGCATATTTATGGTAAATTGATTGTATCTCTGTAAATATTGATCGATTTTCTTCCAAATTTCGATATGATGTAGCTAAGACAATTCTGTACAAGCTCAGTTCTCACCATTTTTCATTTTGATCACGTCATCATAGTGAAAATTACGATTAAAGGGCACATATCAGAAATTTCTTAAGTTGCGTGTTATGCCTAAGGAAGGCGAATTTCGTTCACATCATTTATCTACATGACATTGTTTTTTAGCAGTATCTCGCTTATTTTCGCTCTATTTTGTCTCAAATTTTAGTTGACCAGCCACCAGCCCACCTATACTTGTTCCAAACGAGTATTACATATCTAGTCTTCTATTTGTTTTCTTCCATCAATTTTAGAAACCATTTCTCATCGATGAATTAAAGCACCGACAGTTTGTTCAAAGTTATTCCTTTTTTAACAACAGAAATACCTTTCATAGTGACGTTTACTTCCAACATGGGAGACTTCAACAAGAGTTGTTTAAGACCGTAAGAAATGTGAATGAATAAATTAAATGTCCCGGAATAATTATCATGAAATATTACGGCTCACAACTGATTATCCATCTGCTTAGATAAACTTGTGAATAGAAACAAAAAAATGATTTGTGATTCAATTATCTGTGTTTCATAAATTAATAATAGTCTGATTCATCTTTCCAAATACTCATACTTTGCACAAATCAATATTTTGTCCTAAAAAATATTTGCCTTAGATGTATTTTTTTTACTTCAAAACGTTCAAAATAATTTTTCTCAAATATTAGATTGGTATTGTTTTGAAGCAAAATTTGCGAAACTGACTGGGATAACATTTAGCTCAAACCTAACTGTTTTGAGGCAGGCCCAAAACATGAAGTTATTTGATCGTTATGCAGAAGAAAATACAACTTTAAGACTCCCCTCACAACGCAGGGACTTTCGAGAGTAGAAGTGCGAGAAAAAGAAGACCAATAATGTACGCACATTACAATCATAAACATTACTTAACAACATTAATAAAACTAACATCTATATAATTATAGCGCTTAATACTTATGTTTTTATAAAGGCATGTACTATTATTTTCCCGGAATGACCCGAGCGGCTCTGATAATGCTCTCCGAAATGTCTTCCTCTACCAGATACCCATTTACATCACCAGGGTGGCGAGTGTTAAATGCAGATTAATGTCTTGACAAAGGACATTATTGCCGCATTGGGATTTTATCCGCAATTTAAGTGGTCTACAGTCCGGTGGCATATATACACTAGACCACCACGACACCTCTACTGGTCTCAACCCAGCTTAGGAGAATGCAGATTATACGATCTACAGAACATTTCGAGTCATATCAAACTAGGAGTTGGAGTTGAATTAGCGTAGAGGGCGCCTGTGAAGCTGTACTTGTCTTGACAGAAGTCAACTGGGATCTACGTTTCTAATCGATGGCTGAAACTCATTGCAAAAGACATTATCGTATTAACAAGTTTTTAAAGTACTGCAGCAAATCACCATCAACAACAATTATTTAGGCACTCTAATTCTTTCCACAATAGTCTCACAACTTTTAACATAGAAAACTAGTATTAATTTGGTAAGTTATATTACTTGTTTACACTTTTCATACGTACAACAAATCACATGAATTACATTGGAAAGCTCCGACCAATGAAAAAGGAAGAGATAATGTGTTCAGAGGTTCTCCAAAGCTGCGGCTAATGAGAGGACTTCCATGTAGGGGACCTTCAGGTCTTCTTTCATGGACTGGTAGAACGTATCCGGAGCCGTCGCCAGTTGTTTCTTCAGCTGCAGCAATTGCAGCCCAGTGAGGTTCTGAAGACTCTCGTTGGTGGAACTGATGCCGTTGGAGGTCAGCCACTCGCGGACTTTGTTGACCTCCCAGGTACGAACTTCCGGTTCAGCTGATCCACCGCTTCGTGCCCCTGAGGAAGAGAGTATATGGTTTCATAAAATGGCAATGAAACAATATCGATGATTTTTTTTTTTGTTAATACATGACATGGTTGATATTAGTATCACGCCAAAAGTATCGTAGCATGCTTTTTTTTTAAAGCTCACAGATAATGGACCTAAAAGATGATAGCTGTCCAATTTTACTATTCATTGTGTTTGGCCTTGTGTGTGTGTTTTGTGCGGGTTGTGATCGAGTTATGTGCGTTGTTGTGTGTTTTTTAAAACTGGCTATGTCTCATTACTTGACAAGCTTTTCTAAATTGTGTTATAAGACATTAAAATACAAAGTCAAAAGGATTTGTTATTTCTTTTAAAAGAGCAGAGAAGTCCGTGGAACTCATCAACGAACGCGATAGCAACACTTTCAGTGAAGATTTTAGACGGCACTAATTGATATTCATAGTGTTACCATCTCAACCGTCTTCTTCTTATTATTATTTAAAAGTATTATCCTAACTATCTGTGGTAACAGTTTAGGAGACCGCCATCATAATCGACGCTTGAGTAGGATGGCGGCCTGGATTTTTAAAAAATAATGTGAAATTTGTAATGAAAATTTGTTTATTCGGTCTTTGTGTGGGTGTTTTTGAGTGTGTCCCTACCCGACTGTGCCTCAGGATTCTTCTGCAGTTCTTCCTCAATCTCCAGATCAATGATCCTGGGAAGTTGGTCGGTAACCTTGTCTACACCTGGGACTGGGTAGTAGATCTTCCCGGCGGTGATGCCCCCGAGCCATCCCGAGGCCTTGAATGCTTCGTTTACCTTCACCGGGACAATCCGCTTGTTGCAGTCATACGCATAAGTTGCCTCTGCGGAATTGAAATTACAGTATTGGATGAAATTTTTTTAGAAGACACTCTTTCGAGATAGTTAGGCAGGTAAATCGTCTCGTTATAAGCATAAGTTGCCCCTGCAGAAATGAAACGGCAGTATTGGATGTAACATTGTTAAAAGACACCCTTTCGAGATAGTTAGGCAGGTCAATCAGCTCGTTAGTAAAATGCAAATGATATCATGTTATAAGTTTCCTCTGCAGAATTGAAACGGCAGTATTGGATGCACCTTCGTCGGGGCAATCCGCTTGTTGCAGTCATACGCATATGTTGCCTCTGCAGAATTGAACAAATGACATTATTGGATGCAACATTGTTACTTGACACTCTTTCGAGATAGTTAGGTAGGTCAATCGGCTCGTTAGTAAATATGAAATCATTTCATGTTATACGCATAAGTTGCCTCTGACAAACAATAAAAGAGAATCAATCACTAATATCAGCCACTTAAATCTGAGCACTCGGTTTCATCTAGGAATTGTTCGTTATAATGCCCCGTTGTGAGCCTTTTTGTGATGGGTTTTGGGTGAAAATAAGCCCAGACTTACAAACCTGTTCGACAGTTCTTGCTCTCTTGATACCCCTCTGTGACACAAGCCAGGATCAGATAGGAGTTCTCAACAGCTTTAGCCATCTTCTCGATGATATCCCCACCTAAACAGATGGTCAACGACATAGTTATTGGTAAATATTCTTTTCACGCCAACCTTAGTTAAATGTTATGTATCTTGGAATGTTCTCTAGGTGTGAGGGGAGGGGTTTGACGGGGATTATACAAGAAATATAAATGTAAGCGTATGAAAAACCTTTTAAAACTTTCTTTGGCAGTCAAGATTCTCAATTGTTTACGGGAAATGAGAGTGGGTGGACCACTCGCATATAATTTATTATGGTTAACTTTTAATTCTCGATATCATACCAAGGTTTAATGTTAGATATATAATTACATATTTTCATTTAGGTTCGCTCGCAAAATATAATACATGACTTTAACTGGTGAATGTTAGTAACGTTAGTTGCTATGTGTAGTTCGATTTGCCTTCTTTATTATGTTAAAGGAAGAGTGGAGTGGAGTGAGATCGCGATCACGCAAATAAATCAAAACCGGTCCGATTCTGGACTAAAGCCTATGATAAGTGATTTTATGGCTTACTCATGAAATCTTCATCCATCCACACGTTGTACCCCCTGCTTCTTAGCTGGTCCTTGATCTCGCTCATCACGGACTTTGACGGCTGTTCCCATCTGTAGCTAATCATGATGTGCTGCGAAGGCTTTTCAGTAGGCGTAGAGGGCGTCTGTGAAGCTGTACTCGTATTTGCAGTAGTCAACTCATCCGGTAGTTTGGAGCTGTAGATCTCGAAGAGCGCTCCCTTGCACGCTTGGTTGAGCGCGGGGTCGGGTCCACATGAAAGACTTATCAACTCTGGAGGGGAAAGATAATTTAAAAAATACGGAATTGTGAGACCCTGCGAATAATTGCTTCCATTGATTCCCCCGTTTTTATTAAAAGAATGTAGAAATTGATATCTCAATCGAAAGGGGTGTAGATAAAAAAAAAAATAAACAAATACAAAACAATACTAAACAACAGACCTTTACGAAAAATTCGAGGCTTATATAGTTTCTGAAGGCTTGCTTTTGATGTTTGTTATAATAGAATGCTTGACTTTTTCTGTACATTTGTCCAACTTTACTTATATTAGTTTATTAAATGTAAAGGGTCTCCGATGTTGCCATGCTATAGACAATAACACATTTAACATGTTCAAGGTTTATGTAGGACGCCCTCTGTTTCTGCGAATGCCATCGATATACATGTACTTTATTTTACCAACACCTGTCAATGTCATTTAATTTGATGTAAACCCTTACTAACCATTATTAACTTTAATTATTTAGTCTGGAAAGTATAGCAATTCCCAAATCTTACCTTTGAGTAAGTCAAGTTCCTCTCTAAGCCTATCCTTGTTCTCCTGCCTGAAGGCGAGTTGCCAAAGTGCTTCTGCTGCGTGTCTCTTTTCTTGCGATGTACAATCCATCTCCAGCATCCTTGATAAGATGGCGATGCCATCATTCTCGGCGATAAGGCGCTTGTTCTCGTCATTGATTGCAAGTTGCTCGATGCCCTGGACGAGCTCGATGGCGGATAAAGTGAAACCCCTCCTGAAGGCGTCGGTGCCGGTGCTTCTGGTAATCCGGATCTTGTGCTCGACGTTCTCCAGAGATTGCCTGAGCAGTGAGAGAAGGTTGTCCACACAGGCAGAATTGGTTGTGAGCTTATCGGCCTCCTCCTTGTCGACCATGTACGAGAGAGACATGAAAGCACATGCTTGGACAATCGGGTCTTCTGATGCTGTCAACTTCTGCAACGCTGGGACGATCTGTCGATGGCTCCTCCGAATGTCCTCGATCCTTCTACAGGTGTTGTGCAGGATGTTCAGGACATTGAAGACAATTTCTGTGGCCCATTTGTTCAAGGTGTTGTCCTGGAGTGAGAGCATCCAGTCCACAATGATTGAGAGTCTCCCTTCTTCCTCTATACTTAGGCAAAAGGGATTTGATTCGTCCGTGTAGTTCCAGCAGATTCCCGCCAGAGCGCGGTAGAATTCGAAGGACCGTTGCGCCTCCTTCAGTAAGGTATCCGTCGCTGACGCATCGGTAAACATCTCCAGCAATTCTTTCTTCTGCCAACATGATACGAACATACGAGAGAAGCTGGTGCGTTCCGCCATCAGGTCACCGATTCTCTCCTGGTCTAAGGCAGAGTTCCCGGAAATCTCTTTAACCAAAGCCACACCACTAAGACACGTATTACACGGGATGTTCGCGCAGCTCTCGACGTGGTTGACGGCGTTGAAGATCACGTTGAACTGTTCCTGGAGATTCTCTGGAACTCCTTCCATGAGATCGGGCGTCGTCGATGACGCCGAACCCTCAGATCGAGGACGGATCCTGTCTCGCAATCGTTGCAGCCATGCGAACGGCATTGTATTTCGCAGAGCACTGACTCCAAAAATGATGAAATTTCCCATCTACCAAGATACCATTACTCTAGTTGCAATCCAAGTTTATGTTTTTTTCCAGCTCTCAAGCCGAAACGGATACCTGATCGACGGTTGTAGAGGATGTAGGCACTTGCTGCGTCTCAACTCTGAGGCTCCAAGAGAATGAAAAACACTGTGCGGATCCAGGACCTTTTATTAGCTTATTATAGATCCTGTGAACAAAATGTTGAAATCATTTTTAAAAATTTATTGCAACATACCATCGATTTCGAAATCGAATCATTGTCTTAGTCATGTCTCTACTTTCACATCCGAAGTAAGTGGTCGTTTTCTTCCGGTATGACTTCTCCTTCTAGTTCAAGGTCCAATTCATATCATGGGTTGGGCTTACTTTTAACATTAATATTTTGTTTGTATGTATGATCAGCAAAATATAGGTGGGTTATTAAAGAATGTTGACCCTTCTACCATGATTCATTTTTCAGTAACATAATAAGACTTTTGAATAGTGAAGGATGTTGTAATATTTCTTCGTGTCTACAACGTCGCACACAAATTGTACAGAAATAAAAATTCTGCTCGGCTAATTTTACCTAGTTGGCACCTATAGACTCAATTTGTGTTTACACCTTACCACAGAGAAGGCGCGATAGCTCAGTCGGTAGAGCAGTGGTCTCTTAATCCTGTGACCCGGGTTCGAAACCAAGTCGATGCGAAGTCAATGCGCTAGTGCCCTTTGGTAGGGCATTAATCCTCATTACCAGGTCCCTCGGAGAGGACCTAAAGCCGTCGGTCCTCTGGTTGCTTACTTACAAGCATTTAATGAGTAATGTTGACGAGGAATCTTTTTTTATTTGCTGAACTCTAGCATGCTACTTCATGCGGCAAAATCATGAAGACTATAATTTCTTTATAATATCCATAATGAACATGCAACCATTAGATTCGTACCATATTTCAATACCTTGACCCTTAAAAAACACTTTGTGGTCTCGTAACCGGGATGCCCCGGGTTCGAAATAAAGTCAATGCGCTCATTACCTCTGATAAGGCATTAATCCTCTTTACCAAGTTCCTCGGGAGGACTTAAAATCGTCGGTTGTTGTTTACATCCTGGTTGTTTACATAGAAGCATATATACGCCTTCTTGGCAGTCAGGTTAAACAATCATCATCAAAACAAACCATGAAAACACCTTAAACTTTTTCTCCTTAATTCAAGGTTTTAATTGTCCTTTGATACCTCAGTCACACCGACAAACCAACCCCAAAACGACTCCAAGCGATCGAATCGTGGTCCTTGGTTAAACTCTTTATTTGCCACACGAATGATCTCCCTGGAATATATTATATTTATCAAGGGATATACCAAAAGCTTCGAGATTACTTATTGTTTCCACTGCAATATTAATCTATATAGGTTTTAAACTGGCTGTCATGGAGCTAATCAAGACTGGAAATTAATAGTGTTTGTGTTGCACAAAGAAATCCTTTGGTCAATTGTTGCCTATTCGTTTTTTGTGCAAAAGTACATGTTCGGTAAATGAGCGACCATGCAGAGAGTGAAAGCAACAAATGAAGGTTAAAATGTAATTTTTAGTTCGTCTTGTTATCATGGTTATCTGGTCGCGTTGGTGTAACTGGAAACATAAAGAAAATGTCGGTCTGTTCCTTCTTTAAGCACAAGGCAATGCAAGAATGTTTTATTTGTTAAAATATAAGAACTGAAACTGCTTGATCATTGAACAATGATTCGACTTCGGATTAGAAAAAGCTATTTCCATCCGTCGAAAGTGATATTCCCATTGATCACATTGGCTAGATTGTATCCGTGATCAACATGATAATTATGTAAGTACATCAATCAATTATTGTATATTTATCAAAGTAAGGAAGTTTTTGTTAGAAGGAAATTTGCAATACCTTACCATCATTCAAAGAAAGATTGTAGAAAGAATTAAAATTTTCAAAAAGAGTTTTCCCAACTATTTGTTATAACACTACAGTCTATTAGGGAAAATTTCCTCGATCTTTCTACAGATGTTATGCAGGATGTTCAGGTGTAAGGTAAACCTCTCATTCAAAGATTCTTACTTATCTGAGGCACTCCATGATCATTCTGAAGCGCATTTTTGTTCGGGCTTTACATTACACCATATCTTACAGACACTGATGTCACAATGCCGTGCATCTCAGATTTGTAAACCTGGAAACATTGTTAAACAGTAGTAATAATAATATGGATATTTATATAGCGCCGGTATCCACCAGGCTCTGATGCTGGCACTTTTTTGCCTTTAATCCAGCCCCCTCACCCTCCCCCTCCTCCTCCTTAGAACAATAATCCTGGGGGCATTGTTGTCTAATTATACAATAATTACCGTGAAGAATGTAAATGACAATGCTTCAGAATCAGCGTGAATGGAGGCACACGTATATCTAATGATATCCATTGTATTTAACACAAAAATGTCCTGCTGGTTTGTCTGTGTTCTATATACCCTATAAGCCTATTCCTAACGTACAGGAAATAAGTAGAAATAACATTTCCTCCAAACCGACTTTAACCCGAGCAATATCAATGTTTCCTGTCTTCCGTATTATTATTATAAGTTCTCTTCAGGCGCGTACGTAGGGGCGGGGGATCGAACCCCTCCCCCTCATTTGTTGTAAGTGTCTGTTTTGGAGGACCCCCCCCCCCTTATTTTTTTTAGTTTAATAAAAAAAATTAAAAATTAAAAAAGCATAAATAAATTAAAAAAGCGGCTGGCTGAGTCGTTGCGAAATTTAACCCCCCCCCCCCCTTCGAGACAAAAAACCCGCGTACGCCCCTGGTCCTCTTAGTATGACCATACGGGTCATTTATAGAGAAATCCTATCGTTTTTAATAATCCCCTCAGCATGTATGAAAGAAGAAAAGTGAGGAAAACGGAATGGCGAAAGGTTGAAATAAATCTGTCCAATAATTAGAAAGTTAAGAAAGTTTAAAAATGTGGAATCACTACATTTGTGCGAATCTCAAATTGGCAATCGTGGATTGTGACGCAGTCACTGACATCTCTCCCGTGTGTCGTGTACAAAAGACAGTTGATTTTCTTCTTGGATTTTTGTTTTCTTTCTAATGCCCTTTTCCCATGGGGTAATCCTACAAAGATATTTTGGATAGCATATTTCCTGGGTCATACATTCAAATTGTTTACAACATTTCTAAAAATAAATTGTGTGTCCGAACGAAAGGGAAAGTTGTTCGCCACTACATCACAATGGCATTTACCGATTTGGCCATTTTTAAATTCCTTAGTTGTAGTGATTACTTTCAACAGTTCTTTTTTTCAGAGCACTGATTTTACCACTGAGGCTGGATTTTTCTTTAAATAAACTAAATTGTTAAGAAATTGAACACACTGTATTGGAAGATAGTAAACGCATTGAAACAAGTCCACTGCTTAATAATACACCGGTGGATTTCAACATTGTATAGTAGAAATTAAAACTTGAATCGAATCGAAAAATTGATTGTTTGATATAAATTACCAAACATGTACATTCATATCCATATGATTATCATTTATTTCTTTCACGCTATTAATTACAATGCCTTCGAGTCATTTTTCTCTGTTTGTTTATCTAACAGTTTAGCAATCATTTTTATGCACTGTTATGTTTTCCATGATTCCTTTGTTTGTTTGTTTGATTTACCTGACTTCTAAGAAAGCATGTGCATGCTTGTAGGTAAGCAAGCTGAAGACCGACGGTTCTAATACCTGTCCGAGGGACTTGGTTATGAGGATCAATGCCCTACGAAAGGCGCATAGCGCATCGGCCTGGTTACGAAGCCGGGACCTCCCGGTAACGAGACCACTGCTCTACCACTAGGCCATCGCGCCTCCCTATTTGAGGGTTTTTCGAATCTGTGGCTCCTTTCATTCTATGTGTTACTTAATTACATACAAAATAAGGAAGTATTTTATAAAACAAAAATACATAGGCCTGTAGCCACATATTAAATGAGTGCGACAAAACTACTCTACTCACCTCCTTTATTTTTTACTAGCGCTGCGTCTGTCTCCAAAGATTGTCTGAACATCTGATTCCACAAAACTGCTGTAATCATCGACTTGAACGCTGAATACAAACTGTATTTACGAGGAACTTTATATCAGCTTCTATCAAAACTACATTGTCTAATGACTGACAACTATATAGTCTAGTTTCCTTGATTCTTTTGGAAACAATCACCCGCCATATTAATCCTGTTTATAACTCTCGCTCACACTGCGGTTATCATACTGGGTTTGTTTCCTGTCATGAGGCAGTAAAACGAGGAGGAAGGAAGGAATAGGGGCGTATACAGACATTAGGGGGTTTTTAACATGAGGTGGAATTGAATATACACGAGTGGCCCTTGGTTGTGGAGGTACATATTATAGGTTCGAGGGCCTTCAAAATTTAAGGAGGGGGTTGGGGGCTTGGGCCGCCCTTTCTGGAGACGCCACAATGTTCGAAATCATCATGTCTTGTATCTTCCTTGATCCTAACTCTCTCGTTCTCTCTGTCTGTCTCTCTCTCTCTCTCTCTCCCTCTCTACCACTCTCTCTCTCTCTCTCTCTGCTCTCTCTCTCGCTTGTTCTCTCTCTCTCTCTCTACCACTCTCTCTCTCTCTCTCTCTCTGCTCTCTCTCTCGCTTGTTCTCTCTCTCTCTCTCTACCACTCTCTCTCTCTCTCTCTCTCTCTGCTCTCTCTCTCTCGCTCTCTCTCTCTCTCTCTCTCTCTCTCTCTCTCTCTCTCTCTCCTCGCTCCTGCCATCCATTATGTTTTGTTTCTCGAACTGTATACTCTTACCATTGATCATGACTGTTTTCATGTACTATATTCGATTGCTATACCAACATTATGCCATGGCCATAATTTTCCCTATTAATTTTAATTTATCAAGTGACATAGCACCCCCCCCCCCTCCTTTGCCCTCTCTCTCTCTCTCTCTCTCTCTCTCTCTCTCTATTTTATAAAGTCTGTTCTCTTAGTACCGCCCTTTCTGTTTCGTACTATGGAGAAGAAAACAAAACAATGTCTCATGCTTCACAACATCAATAAAGATGGTCTTTCGTGTCTACTAAAGGCTCTTCAATTTGGTTTAAGGAAGAAATAGATAGTATGTTAACTGGCAAACAGAGTGAGTTCATAATTATAGTTCCCCATCAGTTCCCGATACAGATGTAGGCATAATATTCTTTTTAAAAAGTTGCTACAATACTTCAAATCAAGGTTTTTTTTCTAGCGGATTATCACAAACCGTGAAATAGATTAGTAGGAGTCAGAACGTTTCAGGTGCCCTATTTACATGTATTTATATCCAACACTTAACAAAAATCGGAAACAAGGAAACATGATTTAACTCATCATCGTTCACACAGGGGCCACCATGTTCAAGTAGGCATTTAAAGCATATTCAGAGTTCATAAATTATGGGAAGAACTAAAGAGGCGCAATTTGGAAGAACGCATTTCTCGTGGGCGTCTATGGTATCTGTAATGAAACTAGGAAAAGTAAACTTAATAGCAGGGTATTCCCGAATATTTTATTTATTTTGTTTTTTCAAACAACAACAAATGAAAAACCCAATCAAAAAATACAATAAAATACAAAAGGACAACAAGCAAACGGACAAAAAAACACAGATGCCTGGCTTGTTGCGGGAGTCTATGCTATCCCGGAAAACAATCGCATCTGACGGTTATCATGTCAGGAATTGGATTTTAGACCAGGAAACAGTGTCTTACTACACATACGCATATTATGATCTCAACACCAACCAGGAAACGGAGCGGATTTGAAACGTTCAGAGGTCATGCGTAGTCTTGTCCATGGTAGTGTTGTAGTCTCTCAACAAGAATTATGCATCTTGCATAGAAAAGCAATAAATAATTTCCTTTCGTGTGTCCCTCCTTAAAAGGAAACTAAGTGAATGAACGAATGAATGAACGAATTAATTAATGGATGGATGAATGATTAAATGGATGAATGAAAGAATGAACAAATTAATGAACGAATTGATTAATGGATGGATGAATCATTTTATTCAGTTACAGCACAAACCAGGAAACAGATTTTATTTGGCTTTACAAAAATGGGCACATGGACAATGGTGCCGGTTTTAGGCTCTCAATAAGAGTAAGTGCATTTAGCAAAGACAAGCAAAATAGAATTTCTTTAATTTGTCGCTCCTAAAAAGAAAAAATGAATGAATGAATAAATGTATGAATCATGACTGTTTTCATACACTTATCACCATTACTTTTCATTCATCGATTGACGTAACACTACTACCCCCCCCCCCCCCTTTCCTCTCTTTCTCTCTCTCTCTCTCTCTCTCTCTTTCTCTCTCTCTCTCTTTTACTATCGCTCTCTCTCTCTCTCTTTCACTCTCTCCGTCTCATTTATTGTCAGACATTGAGATACATGTAACATTTCATCTCTCTCTTTCTCTCTCTCAAATCTCTATCTCTCTCATCATCTCTCTCCCTCTCTCACTCTTTCCTTCTCTCTCTCTCTCTCTCTCTCTCTCTCTCTCTTTATCTCTCTCATTCTCTCTCCGATCCTCTCTCTCTCTTTCTCTTTATCACTCTCATTCTCTCTCCGATCTTTTCTCTCTCTCTCTCTCTCTCTCCGTCCCGTCTTATTTTTCCAATCTTAATAAGAGGCTACCGATAAAAGAAAACTTCAGCATTTCATAATGCATTAAATATATTTTTATTACAAATATATTTCAGTGAAGTCATTAATTTTAAAAAAGGAAATTCTCTCTTTTTTTCTCTCTTACTCATATTAGTTTTTAAAACCATGTTACATCGATACATTTGAGCACTGAGAGTATTGTTACGGTTATCACTGTTTTAACAACAAAAAATACCTTTGATAGTGACGTTTATTTCTAACATAGGAGAGTGTATACTTTGAAAGATTAGTTTAAAAGATATTTTTTTTAATGTGAATGAAGAAATAAAATGAAATACCGGAATAGCAACTATCATATAATAATTTAGCTCAAAACTAATTGCCAATCTGTTTAAATATACTTGTGAATATCTAATTATCTTTTTTCATGAATTACTTATAGTCTTATTCATCTTTCCAAATACTCCTACTTTGCTCAAATCACTATTTCTTTCTTCAAAAGGAATGCCTTAGATTTTGCATTCTCTACGTGAGAAATGCAAATTAATCTTAAATATTACATTGTTATTGTCTTGAAGCAAAATTCTGGAAACTGACTAAATAACATTTAGCTCAAATCTAACTGTTTTGAGGCAGGCCCAAAACATGAAGTTAGTTGATCGTTATGCAGAAGAAAATACAGTTTTAGGACACCCCTCACAACGCATGGACTTTCGATCGTAGAAGTGCGAGAAAAAGAAGAAGACTTATGTACATATATACATAGCTTAATGATATTGATAGTAGTAACAGTTATATATCGCTTAATACTTGTGTATATGTTTCTATGCGTGTACTCTGGCATAAGCCGAACGGCCCTGGTAAGATGCTCTGGCATTAGAGAAATGTCTTCCTCTACCAAGTACACACTAACATCACCAGGGTGGAGAGTGTCAAATACAGATTAATGTCTTGACAAAAGACATTATTGCCGCAATGGAACTTTAACCACAAACAAAGTGATCCATAGTCCATATCCATATCACACTAGGACTAGGAGTTCTTGAGAGTTGGATCTAAGCTTCTAATCAATGGCTGAAACTCTTTGCAAAAGACTTGATCGTATACAAAAGTGTTCAGCAAGACAATTTCGCACAATAGAAATGGGGAATAATAATGTAAAATATATTATTTGGTGACACAATTTTGACACTTACAATAATTAAAATGAATTATATTGGGAAGCTCCAACCACAGAAAAAGAAGAACGACCGACATAAATCTCTCAGAGGTTCTCCAAAGCTGCGGCTAACAAAAGGACTTCCAGGTAGGGGACCTTCAATTCTTCTTTCATGGACGGGTAGAACGAATCCGGAGCTCTCGCCAGTTGCTTCTTAATCTGCAGCAAATGCAGCCCGGTGAGGTTCCGAAGACTCTCGTTGGTGGAACTGATGCCGTTGGATGTCAGCCACTCGCGGACTTTGGTGGCGTCCCATGTACGGACCTCCGGTTCAACTGGTCCACCGCTTCGTGCCCCTGAGAAAGAGAGTTTATGGTTTCATAAAATGGCAATGAAAAAATATTGTTGAAATATTTAAATGTAATATATATGTTTGATATAAGTATCATGCTAATAGTATCATATGCATACATGTATTATGTGGAGCTCACAGGAAATGGACAGAAAACATGATAGCTGTCACAATTCGCTATTCATGGTGTTTGGCCTCGTGTGCGTGTTGTGTCTGTATAATGTGACTGGCCTTTCTTCTTCGACTTCCTCTTCTTGTTTTATTACTTAACTGGCTATGTTTCATTAATTTACAAGCTTTTTCTAAATCGTGTAATAGGACATTAAAGACTATCTGCACTAGTTTGGCCAGGAGGGATTAGACCTCCCTGCGTGGTCACTGGCAGGTGGTTATCTCATCAAATCAGCTCAAAATTAACGTAAGAAAAAGGGCATCATGGGGATCTACGGGTACCGCTTAGGCATTGTCGGCTGTATAGAGGGCGCAAGTAGCTACGAGTAGTGCAGTCCTGCTTCAAAATACAAAGTCAAAATCATGTTTTGTTTCTTTGAATAGGAGCAAAAAAGTCAGTGAAACTCATCAATGAACGCGATTGTAAAAATCTGATACAGCACATCAGATGTTTTTTTATTAATTTTGACGATCACTAAATGTGGAATTCTGTGAAACCTCAAACTGGTAACTCTTTAAATATAATATTGAAACCAGGCGTATCATCGCATTCTAAAACAATTGAGGACGGCACCTGTTGGTATTCATGGTGTTCCCTTCTCAACCGTCTTCTTCTTCTTAGTATTAATTAAAAGTATTATCCTAACTATGTGTGGAAAAAGTGCAAGAGACCGCCATCACAAGTGACGCTTGACTTGGATGGCGGTCTTAATAAAAAAAAACTTAAGGTGAAATATAAATGAGAATGTGTTCATATGGTCTTAGTATGTGGATTTGTGAGTGTATTGTGTGTGTATTTGTGTTTCGAAGGAAAGGGTTCCTACCCGACTGTGCATCATGATTCTTCTGTAGTTCATGCTCAATCTCCCGGTCAATGATCGTGGGAAGATGGCTGGGAACCTGTTTTTTCATTTTGGATGAGGTAGTACATCTTCCCTGCGGTGATGGCCCCGAGCCATCCCGAGGCCTTGAATGCTTCGTTCACCTTTACGGGGACAATCCGCTTTTCTTTAACAAGAGCATAACGTGCTTCTGTGGAATTGAAAGGACATTATTGGATGCAACATTGTTACTTGACACTCTTTCGAGATAGTTAGACAGGTCAATCGTCCCCATAGTAAATATGAAATCATAGCAGGCTACACGCATACGTTGCCTCTGCAGAATTGACCAACAATATTGGATGCAACAGTGTTACATGGTACTCTATCGAGATATTTGGGAGGCCAATAGTCTCCATAGCAAATAGTAAATGATTTCAGGTGATTTTTTAAAAATCTCCACTTGTTGCAGTCAAAGGTGAATGTTGCCTCTGTGGAAGAGATTTGACAGGATTGGATTAGTGCAACACTGGAGCACCTTTCTAATGACACTGTTTCTAGAAAATCGGACAGGACAGTCATGTCAGTACATAGTACCTCACAATTGATGTTGCAAGTACTTTGCTTCTGTGTTTTTTTTTATGGCTTTTGATAACAAAACGGGCTGAGTACTGACCCTCAAATTAGCTTGTATAATTCTTTGGTCTATAGAACAATGAGACAATTGATTTGTCGGAATGCCCGCTAATGCATAATATTTCGTGGGACATTTATTTGTGTAGATTTTCGTGTAATTTTCATATTTTTAGACAAACCACAAGGTGGAAGGTAAACTTAAATTGAGCTCGGATTTTCTCTTGTGGTAATTAATTAATTACAAGTCACAGATTTTATAGTCACTATCATTTTTGTTCCTTTACTCCCCCCCCCCCTCCCTTTCTCTCTCTCTCTCTCTCTCTCTTTGATATGCATCTATCAAAACCTCACCAAAAATATACACTGTTGGTCATAAAGGTGGAATTATTATTTACCCCAATTTATATGGAATGATTTTGATTTTTTCGTAATAGATCTAGATAATAGTATACATTCTCAGATTTTATTGAATAATAATTTGCGAGTGTTTGTTTGTGCTACTATGCTTATGAGATAGGGGACCTACGTCTTTAAGTCATAACTGACAGTAATGATGATTAATGCCTCAGAAAAGGGCACCCTTGTAAAAAAAAATATATATATATATATTACTGCGGTACTCGCAGTACATTTACTCCGGTAAATGGGCCGCTTTTCGCAGTACTTCCGCGGTACTTGTCCTGGGGGTGTTTCATAAAGCTGTTCGTAAAGTTACGCATGACTTTACGAACGACTTGTATATGAAAAGCCAAATGGGATGCTTACTCATTATTGATTATTATTTATTAAGTTGAACTGTGCAGATGTAGATTAGCATTCTTATCATAACAACCATTTTGAATGCAAAGTATATTTTTGCCGTTATTTAATTGAGGTTATTGGAAATATCAGAAAAAACTTTTGGCATCCTATCTGGCACTTCATATACAAGTCGTTCGTAAAGTCACGCGTAACTTTGCGAACTCTTTATGAAACACCCCCCTGCAGTTCTTTCGCTATTATACCGTGGTATTTGTACTGAAGTACTTCCATGGTAATTGTACTGCATTACTAATGATACCAACACTCGCAAATTATTATTCGATAAAATCTGAGAATGTATACTATTATCTAGATCTATTAGGAAAAAAACGTTGTCAAAATCATTCCATAATTTGGGGTAAACATAATTATTCTACCTTTATGACCAACAGTGTATATATAAATAGTGGCAGCGGCTACTTAAATATTACCTCCGTTAATGCCCCGTTGAGGGTTTTTTGAGTGAAAAGGGGCCAAGAGTTACGAACCTAAACGACAGTTCTCGCTCTCCTGATATCCCTTTGTGATACAGACCAGGATCAAATAGGAGTTCTCCACAGCTTTAGCCATGCAATCATAGATATCTCCTCCTAAACAGATGGTGAACGACATATAGTTCTTGAGTAAATATGCTTTTCACACAAACTTCAGCTAAATTTTTATTCTGTAATATTCTTAAGGTGCGGGGGAGGGGGTTTGATGGGAAATAAGAGTGGACTACTCGTATGTTACTTATCATGGTAAACGTTTAATTCTCTAAATAACCCCCAGGTTGAATGTTTAAATATAACGACATATTTAAATTTAGGTTCGTTCGGAAACTATAATACATGAATCAAATTATTTTAGTGGCTTTAATAATAATAGTAATATACCGTAATTATATAGCGCATATCACAATAATGTCTCTATGCGCTGTAAAAAAGAGTAAGAAGGAAAGGTGGATAGAGTAACATAAGAAGAGTGAGGTACGCTCAACATACTTCCTCTCGTTAACATTGGAAAGTATTTTTGAAAATAAGACACGTCTAAAAGTTGTCAACAGTACCAATTTCTTTTTTTATTTTCCGGTAGTTTATTCCAAAGTTCGGCAGATGCAACCTCAAAATAGCAAGACCTGAATAACTTAGTATTTATTTGTGGAATGGTGAGGAGAGACTTTTGAGAAGATCTGAGTGTTCTGTTTGGTACATATTGGGTATGTAGCTTTAAGCTAACTAGTTTATGCTATGTGTAGTTCAATTTGTCTTCTTTATTATTTTAAAAGCAGGTTATTTTACCAACTTCTCTAGCTGTACCTTAATTATTTTTCATTTGCGCCATCTTTCTTTAGAAGGCGTACATAGAGCGATTTCTGATTCCTGTACCGCAGCATTATCACGAGCGCGTCACGCAGTTGGTGATGGTAGCAGATGGCAGATGGTAGTGTTAGTAGAAATGAATAAGATTGACAAATTAATGGAACCGGTTTAAATAAAATCAGGATGAATTTTGATATTTGGGGAAAATGTTGGAGGGGAAAGCGCTGGAGGTTAAGCAAAATAAAATACAAAAGCCTATATCAAGAGATTCTAGTACTTACCCATACGATCTTCGTCCATCCACACGTTGTACCCCTTGCTTATCAGCTGGCTCTTGATCTCGCTCATCACAGACTTTGACAGCTTTTCCTATTTGTAGCTAATCATGATGTGCTGTGAAGCTGTACTTGTCATCGTTAACAGCACTCCTTTGCACGCTTGCCCGAGAGCGTGGTCGGATGTAAGTGAAAGATTTTTCAACTCTGAAGGTGATAATTTAAAAAAAGCATACCAAGTTGTAAAATCCTGCGGATAGTTTTCTTTTCAACTGTGCTGTTTGGTTTGGGGCATTTAGGAAAGATGACTCTAGGAAAATGGAAAGTGTAGTCAAGAGGGCGAGTCAAATAACAGGAATGGACGAAACCTGGCAGAAGAATGCAAGGCATGAATCCTCCAAAAAGCTAAAAAGATCATTACAAATGAGGATCACAATCTAAATTACTTATATGAATTATTACGGTCAGGAAGGGGAATACGCTAATTGAAATGTCGGACAAGCCGATATGTGGGCTCTTTGTGTTCCATACCCCATTCCCAAATGGAGTGAGGAGCATATGGGCCCAAGTTTCGGCTCGGCATGGTTTTCCTTTTCCTTCCTTCCTCCACACTGATGTTCTATCATTTTTATCATTTTCAATGTGTAACACTAGAATATAAGATAATTTATATTTTGTCTACCTTTTATTTTGATGGTTCTGTTATGATTAAAAACGATATAGTTTCTCATATACGTGTACATATATATTAGGTATGTTTGCAATGTGTGACCAAAACAAATTTACATGTATTCTTTTAAATTGGTATGAATAAAAAGGACCGAATCAAATTAAATTGCAACTCAATATGAACATGATTGACAAAGCAAGAGGACAAAATATACAGTTCTTCAGGTAGACAAAGGAACATCCCTTCACTGCTATTATATAAAAATGAGTAAAACAGATGAATATGCATGTGACACCTGTTCTACACATTTTTACATAATAGCAGTGAAGGGATGTTCCTTTGTCTACCTGAGGAACTGTATATTTTGTCCTCTTTCTTTGTTCGTCATGTTCATAGTGACTATTGCTTCTCCCATTAACCCATTGCTTACTGGAACCTGGTGGTCCCTGTGTTAAGCCTATGGGAATAAGATAATTCAGTAGCCAACGGGTTAATATTTCAATCCAAAGAGGAAAACAAAATTATAATATTACAAGACAATGCTAACAAAACTTCTTAACGAAAAATTGGAGGTTTGATCAATTTCTAAAGGCTTGCTTTTTATTTGTTAATAATGGAATGCTGACTTTTTGGTACATTTTTCCGACTTACTTAGTTTAAGGTCTCCGGTGTTGCCATGCCATACACTATTAGAAATGTACATGTTCAAGGTGTATGTAGAACGCCCTTTAAACTTTCTGTATGCGAATGTCATCGATATACATGTACTTCATTTTTCGTGTGGATTTCATTTCGTCACCGTTTTCACGAAGTGTCCCAAGAGCGTTTTAGCGTACAGAAACAAATTTTGAGATAAACGCGTTTAAAGTTTCACTTTTTTACAATCGCTGTTTTCACGGGGAAAAAGTATGTGATGGTGTTCATTTTTTTTGATATCTTGATAGTACACTATCTACAGAATGAAATGATATAAGTTTTACGGGGAAATAATGTTTATTTAAACCATAATTAGACCTCAATCACAGAGGACAGTCAGAGGACGGTTCGTGAAAACGAAAAACTTGACATCCACGCTTAGGCTCGTCTTCACGTAGTGGCCCCGCAGCTTACGCGGCCCCGTTTCCCCTGTTGGTTATGTGAAATTTCGTTTTTACGAACCGTCCCAGTTGACGCGTGCGCTGTGCAAAGCAATGCTATTTGCATACCCCCCCCCCCCCCCCCCCCTCCCCCAACCGGGCCTGGAACAATGTTTAGGCATGATGCTGGTCAACCACTGGCCACTCCAATCAGTTTTCCTTCATTATCCATCTTCTGAATTCTCTCTTTTCTCCTCTTTTATTTCTCATCTTTTCCTTAATTTCTCACTCTGAAATGATTTTCCTCCTATCTCCCTATCCCACCCTCATTGTCACTACTCATCTCTCGCCTACCATTATACTATCCATAATTTTCCCCTAACCTTTCACCATCTTTTCCTTCATTTTTTATCTGACTTCCGACTTCTCTCTTTTCTCCTCTTTCTATTTCCCACATCTTTTCCTTAATTTCTCACTGTCAATATATTCCTCCTATATCTCCCTACCCCCCCCCCCCACCCTCTCTCTCTTTCTCATTACTCATCTCTCGCCTTCCATTATTTATCCATAATCGTTCTCAAACTCTTTCACTATCTCATACATTTTCCCTCTCTGTATCTACATTTTCTTAAGGAAATTGTGATCATTTATTAATACCAAAATAAAGTATACTGAGGCATATATAAGTTGCAAATAAGTTAGAAACTTTTAATCACAAATCGCAAACATAAATCATATAATGGTGATAAAAGCTTCAAGAGTTGTTGAAACTTTTAACATGAAAATTCTCTACTTAATGCTGTATTAATTATACATTTACTCAAATCGGAACTGTTGACTTTACAAGTTATTCCATAATTCATGCATTATAGTCTTCAATACTAAGTATACTGTAAATGGAATGCATCTTATGTATTCCATATGTATTTATGCCTTTATGATCACAGAAATTATTTCCAGTATAATATTGATTTTAGATTGAATACGGATTATGATAGATGTAAAACAAATTAAAGGCGCACTTCTTCATTATATCGATTTCATGGTTTCAATACAAATTTTAACAAAGAAGAACGTATCACTTACCTCAATCATCATTGTCACAGTGGAGATATATTTTCATAAACATTTTATATGTATAAGTATGTAAAGCATGTTCTATGACAGCTAATTTTCTTTTGTTTAAGGTCATTTTCAACAAGTTAATGCAGGTTTTGATATAGGTATGGATAACTCGAAAATCAAAATGATGACAACGAACATTATTGGCATTAGTTTACATTGAGCATCATTAAAGCCCCAGTGAAGAAGTTACAGGGAAAAACATATTGTGGCAGTAAGTTTAGGTCGTATCTCTTCTCTTTCTTCTATGAAATTCTTCATCCATATTATGGCATATAATAGCAACAGTTTGTCATGGTATCTTTTTTGATTGAGTGCCAGCTCACATACAAAAAAAGGGGTTGTATTTTCACTTGATTTGGAGCCTTTGTACCGTGTACAGTTAAAATAAGAGACAAATCCTTGACAGCATCGTTAATTGGTAGAATTCATTCACTTAAAAAAGAGCACAGTAGATATTACATATTTACATGAATATGATTGATAGACTAGTCACTACTATTCAATATGGCTTAATAAATTTCAAATATATAATGGACATTAATATAAATGCATACAAACTGATCAATTAATATCTTTCATACACAAACTGATTTCATTGAAAAACTATTTACGATCAGTGAAAAACACAATTATTTTTTCTTCTTTCTGTAATCCTTTATTTACATATAATTATGTATAAACAAAAAATCATTTTAACTGAAGAAGTAGCATTTCTTCTTCATAATATATGTATATATATTTCCATGTTCATTGACGATATAATTTATAGTGAAACATTTCTAGCTTTAATACATTGAATTGAACCAGTTCATTAATTTAATTTTTGTTTAAACACATAACATGCAGCCAATTGAAAGGCCCATATTGTCAGTTTAAAAAGTATTGAGATATTTACAATATGATACAAACATCAAAATATAAAAATCAATATACATGTAAATAATATAGCAAAGGTAAAATCAAACAAAAATATAATTGCAGGTGTACAAATGTGACAAAGATGTAGATATTTATTTATAAAATAATATAAGCATAAACATGGCAAGGATAAATATATACCGGTATGTACTTGAGCATTAAGCATAAAAATACCTTAACCTCATCAGTCATAGCACCTTGAATAAATGAGAAATTTAAGACTCATACAAAAAATGCACGAGTGAGAACAGGAAAAGGAAACTTTGATAGCACAGATGATAATACCCTAGAAAAAAGATGCAAATGCAAATTCTACCACAAATAGGTTATCCTCTCATAATCATGTCATAATCCTCTAATGAAAATGAATTTGAATTGTGTAATGTTAATAACAATAGGAACATTTTCTTTATATTTTTGATACTAGTTAATACAAATATAACAGGGCCACAATGAAAGGGGTACTCATACATGAATATACAGTAAAAATGATGTCTTAAATAGCTTTTGTGGTCAATCTTTATTTGTTTCCTGAGTGTCAAAATAGTTTAACTTCTGGCTCTATAGGGATCACACAGTTGTTACCTGCCTCTTAAAGTCAATACAATGTGACAGTCCTTGTAACAACTGAAGTATACTGTTTTGAGCTTGTGTCTAGGTTAAAAGTCCTTGCCTGGTCTTTAAACCAAAAAGATATACCACTGTCCTGCTCCTACAGAAAATACAATGTGGCAGTCCTTGTGAGAACTGATGTATACTGTTTTGAGCTTGTGTCTACCTTAAAAGTCCTTGCCTGGTCTCTAAACCAAAAAGATATACCACTGTCCTGCTCCTACAGAAAATACAATGTGGCAGTCCTTGTGAGAACTGATGTATACTGTTTTGAGCTTGTGTCTACCTTAAAAGTCCTTGCCTGGTCTCTAAACCAAAAAGATATACCACTGTCCTGCTCCTACAGAAAATACAATGTGACAGTCCTTGTGAGAACTGATGTATACTGCTTTGAGCTTGTGTCTACCTTAAAAGTCCTTGCCTGGTCTCTAAACCAAAAAGATATACCACTGTCCTGCTCCTACAGAAAATACAATGTGGCAGTCCTTGTGAGAACTGATGTATACTGTTTTGAGCTTGTGTCTACCTTAAAAGTCCTTGCCTGGTCTCTAAACCAAAAAGATATACCACTGTCCTGCTCCTACAAAAAATACAATGTGGCAGTCCTTGTGAGAACTGATGTATACTGTTTTGAGCTTGTGTCTACCTTAAAAGTCCTTGCCTGGTCTCTAAACCAAAAAGATATACCACTGTCCTGCTCCTACAGAAAATACAATGTGACAGTCCTTGTGAGAACTGATGTATACTGCTTTGAGCTTGTGTCTACCTTAAAAGTCCTTGCCTGGTCTCTAAACCAAAAAGATATACCACTGTCTTGCTCCTACGGAAAATACAATGTGACAGTCCTTGTGAGAACTGATGTATACTGTTTTGAGCTTGTGTCTACCTTAAAAGTCCTTGCCTGGTCTCTAAACCAAAAAGATATACCACTGTCTTGCTCCTACAGAAAATACAATGTGACAGTCCTTGTAAGATCTGATGTATACTGTTTTGAGCTTGTGTCTACCTTAAAAGTCCTTGCCTGGTCTCTAAACCAAAAAGATATACCACTGTCTTGCTCCTACAGAAAATACAATGTGACAGTCCTTGTAAGAACTGATGTATACTGTTTTGAGCTTGTGTCTAGCTTAAAAGTCATTACCTGGTCTCTAAAACCAAAGAGATTTTAGCACTTGCTCTTCACAGAAAATACAATGTGACAGTCCTTGTAAGAACTGATGTATACTGTTTTGAGCTTGTGTCTAGCTTAAAAGTCCTTACCTGGTCTCTAAAACCAAAGAGATTATAGCACTTGCTCTTCACAGAAAATACAATGTGACAGTCCTTGTAAGAACTGATGTATACTGTTTTGAGCTTGTGTCTAGCTTAAAAGTCCTTGCCTGGTCTCTAAAACCAAAGAGATTATAGCACTTGCTCTACACAGAAAATACAATGTGACAGTCCTTGTAAGAACTGATGTATACTGTTTTGAGCTTGTGTCTAGCTTAAAAGTCCTTGCCTGGTCTCTAAACCAAAAAGATATACCACTGTCTTGCTCCTACAGAAAATACAATGTGACAGTCCTTGTGAGAACTGATGTATACTGTTTTGAGCTTGTGTCTAGCTTAAAAGTCCTTGCCTGGTCTCTAAAACCAAAGAGATTATAGCACTTGCTCTACACAGAAAATACAATGTGACAGTCCTTGTGAGAACTGATGTATACTGTTTTGAGCTTGTGTCTAGCTTAAAAGTCCTTGCCTGGTCTCTAAAACCAAAGAGATTATAGCACTTGCTCTACACAGAAAATACAATGTGACAGTCCTTGTGAGAACTGATGTATACTGTTTTGAGCTGGTGTCTAGCTATCTCTGAAACATGTTTTAACCCTTATAAGGTCAGAGGGGGGGGGGGGGGGCTGGATTTTTACCCTCCACCCACTAGACATATTTACCTTGATTTTCCATCTTGTAGAGAAGTTCCAGGTTGAAGTGAAAAAAAAAACTTGAATCTGTATCACTCTTTAAAACCTGCAATAAGCAAGTAATGAAAAAGAAAGAAAATTAATGGATTATAGCATGTGCCTGTTAAACATAAAGCTATATTAGGGCAGTCTGTGTCATAAATACTTGACATTATTTGAGCATGTGTAAGCTAACATGTTAGATATGAAAATATACACAAAAATAAGTAAATTGTGTAAGTCATACAATAGCTCAATGTGCTTAGTGTGGAAGCATGCGGTAGAAGGCCTGGTATTCTGGATGAGAAATGACGGCTGTGTCACCAGTGCAGAGGGTCATTAGGTCTGTGTACTTTCCTTGGGAGAGCTTGGGGTTTCCCATCCTGTACAGAGGTTCCACGTCAACGTCTTCATTATCTGTTCCTCTTCGCCTGCTGGTCAGTGAAATACAATCGAAATCATCTTCCAGATGAGAGTACTTGAATCCAATAGCATCTTGACCTCTCTTAGTCACCTGGAGTGCTCTAAACTTGGTCCAGTCGATGGCTTGACTTCCCTCTGACGAGCGAACTCTGAGAACACCTCTCCTTTGGCTGTAAGTCTTCCAATCCATTATATCAGCTGTCTTGACTGTGATGACTGTGTAAGATCTAGGATGACTTCTTGCCATTCTACAGATGCAGGCAAGCTGGGCTGGCAACATAATCTCTCCCACCTGCTGGATGGCTCTCTCTACGACACTGTGCATAGAATCGCCCTCGGACTGGCCGTGTCCAGCTTCAAAGAAGTATTGTCTGATCCTCTTGATAGACTTTGCCCCTTCTATGAAGCCCAACATCATACTGGGCAGAATGGAATTCTTGTTCTGCCCGGGGCAACCATCGGCAAAGAATTCTACTTCTTCTATTCCATCATTATCGAGCCCACACAGATACGAATGTATGTGTGAAGCAATTTCACATGATCCACGTTTTGTTTGCCCTTCATGCGATAGGTAGCAAGTCCCTTCCTTGGTACCAAGACTGAACACAGTGAAATTATAATTGGCTAATCTACGTTTGTAGAAAAGCTCTGACCGGGTAGACTTGGGAAGGTAGATGACTTGCTGCAGGTCAAAAACTGCAGCATGGAAGGTCGGATCTGAGCAAGCTCTTTCCTTAGCTTTCCTCTTGATCTCCCTCACTTTATTTTTCTCATCGATGTGTTTTGCGAAGTCAGTTGCAAGATGTTCCTTCTGACTCTGTGTTCCCCTGTGATATGTATCACAGATCCCACACTGATCTTTCTTCGGGGAGTGAAACTTCAGCTTCATCTCTCTTAAGACCGTCTTGTATAGAGAAAGAGAGGGACCGTCTTCATTCTCTTGTTGATACATACAATGCATTTTCTCAGCATTCAAATCAGATGACAGGTACTCGCATCTGCTACTTGCACGACAGTAGTGCGATTCCATCCTTGGGAATTTATCTATGTGCTTTCGCACACTCTCCCGCAAAAGGGTGTCACGTTCGGTAGTCTGACGTCCTCCTCGAAGTTCTCCTTCAAGAAGGCCACAGGAAAGCATTTTGTTGACAACAGTCTTTGTTTGTCTCGATGAGATGCCAAGTGTAGACAGAAACATCTGCTTGCACACTTGAGTTTTCTTCAATGGATCTGTCGAAGAAGGAAGGTTGTAGACAATCTTGCGTTTGTTTCCTGTCATCGTCACGTTGAGTTGTCTTGCAATCCACTCTCTCTGCTTTAGAAGATTGTTAAGATCAAAGAAGGAGGAACGGATCTTGGCTCTTTCTTCCCTGTCGTAACTTGTACAGGAAAACTTCCTGGAGTCACATCTTGTGCAACGGGTATCATATGAAGCTTCCCTCCGCGCAGGCATCATCTTTCTGGTTTTCTCGCTGATGTACGCTTCACCAGTATTTCTTTTACGCTTTACGATGGCATTCTTGCTCTTAATCTCCTTAGGAACCTTGGACGCTTGATCTTCTGGAGCTGGTTCCCCTTCAACCAAAAAGTCCTCAGGCAAGGGCTCTAATCTTGCCGACTCGCGAGGAAGATCTGCATTTTCAGGAATGTCTTGAAGGTCCACAGTGCTTGACATGTCATCCTGCTGCTGACAACTTTGAACCTCTTTTGATTGTGATGAACCTGATGATGTATCTGTGTTTATGAGGCTGTTGTCTGAGCTGCTTAGCACCTCAGCAACACAGCAAGCTTCCTGAATTGGCACATCTGCCAACTCGGTCAAACCATTAAAGTCATCAACATTAATATTTGCTTCAGCAAATGCAAGGTTATGGCATGAGCATTGATCACTTAAAGTAAAATGGTTATAACATAAAAAACAAAGGCATCTGTGGCAAGCAGCCCATACTTCTTCAAAGCAATGGAAATGTTCACATCTAGCAGGTAGATTGGGTGGACCACTGTTAGTAGGTTCTGTGTTAATTGGTACTGTCCTTAATAAGGCTAGAGGAATTAAGTCACTGTCAGAGTCTGAAAACTATGGTTTCAGAATCTGGGTCTTCTGTAAGGGTAATTGGCACTGTCATTAACGAGGCTAGAGGAATTAGGTCACTGTCTGAATCTATGGTATCAGAATCTGGGTCTTCTGTAAGGGTAACAGTTCCGGCCCACTCTCCATCTGCCCAGTTCATGGTTACTCGCGAACCCACCCTCAAATTTCCAGAGAAGTGCAGGTCTCCTTTCTCGACACAGTTAATCTCCCCGTTTCTGTCCCACCTTACCAGAACATCCTTGTTATTATCCGCCCTGCACAGAGTTATAAATCAACGACATTGATAATGGAATAAAACATAATTTTATCTTTATGAACATTTGAGATAACTAAATACATAGGAAGTGTATGATTAGTTGTCAGGATAGTTCTTGTGACGCTTAAAAATACTGATTACATAATACTTGTAAGACCATTTAAACATAGAATACTCAATAACTTCATATCAATGAGTACACATCAAGATTCAAAGATTTTACATTTTTGCTTAAAAGAAAAAAGTTGAGTTTTTCTGCGGCTTGGATATGGATAAAATATGTTCAACCAATCACTTAAAAGAAGATATATATTTATTTTCTATCATTATGTTGAAATCTATGTCATCTTCATGAAGCATAAATAATCTGAGAGTAGACTTTAACACTCTTGCAATTTTCTCTTTTTTCTACAGCTAATATTTCCTGTCTTTTAAGCATTATTCATGGAAAAAAGTCGGCTATCCTTTTCCTCGTAAAGGATATAGTTATTAGAAATAGTTGGATTTATTGAATGGGTGATGTTGACAAAGTTGAAATTGAATATATGAACACAAAAATAAATAAATTAAAGATGTACTATATGATTTTTCAAAATTTTGATTTCATCCTTATGCCACCCAAGTACTTGTAGGCAACTGCCGAATAATACACCAATTTCTTTTAAACTAATTTCTAATGAAAGATATAATGTCCCTCAAATTCTTACTAATAATTATAATACAGATATACCCCATTCTCATTACGGCGCGCACCAAAAGTCGCGCTTTTATCGTGACCTTTCGTGCGCGCCAAATAGAGCCACCGACTCTCTCAGTATTCTCACTACTAGCAACAAGCTCGATCTATAGTAGTTCTTTCGTTTCAACGCCGAACCAAAATAGGTATGATTGACAGAGTGCATATTCAAGTCACTTGAAGGTACAAATTAAACTGGAATTTGTTATCCAATTATTTTGATGATCCATACAATTGTATGGCTCCTGAATAAAACATATCATGTGGTCAAAAATTGTAGCGGAAATTATGTAAATGGTTAAAAGAACTTACATCTTTATGCTCTTTACAGACTGAATGCAAGACGAGCTGAAAAGTGGTTTGAATGCTGAATGCAGGAAATGACGCACCAACAGTCCACAGCTGAAATATGAAAGACATTTGACAATCAATAATTAACTTCTTAAGCAACCTTTGAACACTAAATTTTGGAGGGAGAAAAGGGCATATAACATATTATACTAATGTAACTGAGCTCAGTATGAACATGAATGTAGTCAATTGTTTTAGTCTAGTCCCACAACCATACAAACAAAAAGACACAATAACAGAAATATAAATAAATAAATAACTGATGGCTCCTTAATAAATCATGCGGTGTAAAATTGAAGCTGAAATGATGTAAATGGTTAAAAGAACTTACATCTTTATGCTCTTTACAGACTGAATGCAAGACGAGCTGAAAAGTGGTTTGAATGCTGAATGCAGGAAATGACGCACCAACAGTCCACAGCTGAAATATGAAAGACATTTGACAATCAATAATTAACTTCTTAAGCAACCTTCGAACACTAAATTTTGTGGGGGGAAAAGGCATATAACATATTATACTAATGTAACTGAGCTCAGTATGAACATGAATGTAGTCAATTGTTTTAGTCTAGTCCCACATCCATACAAACAAAAAGACACAATCACAAAAATATAAATAAATGAATAACTGATGGCTCCTTAATAAATCATGCGGTGTAAAATTGAAGCTGAAATGATGTAAATGGTTACAAGAACTTACATCTTTATGCTCTTTACAGACTGAATGCAAGATGAGCTGAAAAGTGGTTTGAATGCTGAATGCAGGAAATGACGCACCAACAGTCCACAGCTGAAATATGAAAGACATTTGACAATCAATAATTAACTTCTTAAGCAACCTTCGAACACTAAATTTTGGAGGGAGAAAAGGGCATATAACATATTATTCTAATGTAACTGAGCTCAGTATGAACATGAATGTAGTCAATTGTTTTAGTCTAGTCCCACATCCATACAAACAAAAAGACACAATAACAGAAATATAAATAAATAAATAACTGATGGCTCCTTTATAAATCATGCGGTGTAAAATTGAAGCGGAAATGATGTAAATGGTTACAAGAACTTACATCTTTATGCTCTTTACAGACTGAATGCAAGACGAGCTGAAAAGTGGTTTGAATGCTGAATGCAGGAAATGACGCACCAACAGTCCACAGCTGAAATATGAAAGACATTTGACAATCAATATTTAACTTCTTAAGCAACCTTCGAACACTAAATTTTGGAGGGAGAAAAGGGCATATAACATATTATACTAATGTAACTGAGCTCAGTATGAACATGAATGTAGTCAATTGTTTTAGTCTAATCCCAAATCCATACAAACAAAAAGACACAATCACAAAAATATAAATAAATGAATAACTGATGGCTCCTTAATAAATCATGCGGTGTAAAATTGAAGCTGAAATGATGTAAATGGTTACAAGAACTTACATCTTTATGCTCTTTACAGACTGAATGCAAGACGAGCTGAAAAATGGTTTGAATGCTGAATGCAGGAAATGACGCACCAACAGTCCACAGCTGAAATATGAAAGACATTTGACAATCAATAATTAACTTTTTAAGCAACCTTTGAACACTAAATTTTGTGGGGGGAAAAGGCATATAACATATTATACTAATGTAACTGAGCTCAGTATGAACATGAATGTAGTCAATTGTTTTAGTCTAGTCCCACATCCATACAAACAAAAAGACACAATCACAAAAATATAAATAAATGAATAACTGATGGCTCCTTAATAAATCATGCGGTGTAAAATTGAAGCTGAAATGATGTAAATGGTTACAAGTACTTACATCTTTATGCTCTTTACAGACTGAATGCAAGATGAGCTGAAAAGTGGTTTGAATGCTGAATGCAGGATATGACGCACCAACAGTCCACAGCTGAAATATGAAAGACATTTGACAATCAATAATTAACTTCTTAAGCAACCTTCGAACACTAAATTTTGTGGGGGGAAAAGGCATATAACATATTATACTAATGTAACTGAGCTCAGTATGAACATGAATGTAGTCAATTGTTTTAGTCTAGTCCCACATCCATACAAACAAAAAGACACAATCACAAAAATATAAATAAATGAATAACTGATGGCTCCTTAATAAATCATGCGGTGTAAAATTGAAGCTGAAATGATGTAAATGGTTACAAGAACTTACATCTTTATGCTCTTTACAGACTGAATGCAAGACGAGCTGAAAAGTGGTTTGAATGCTGAATGCAGGAAATGACGCACCAACAGTCCACAGCTGAAATATGAAAGACATTTGACAATCAATAATTAACTTCTTAAGCAACCTTCGAACACTAAATTTTGGAGGGAGAAAAGGGCATATAACATATTATTCTAATGTAACTGAGCTCAGTATGAACATGAATGTAGTCAATTGTTTTAGTCTAGTCCCACATCCATACAAACAAAAAGACACAATAACAGAAATATAAATAAATAAATAACTGATGGCTCCTTTATAAATCATGCGGTGTAAAATTGAAGCGGAAATGATGTAAATGGTTACAAGAACTTACATCTTTATGCTCTTTACAGACTGAATGCAAGACGAGCTGAAAAGTGGTTTGAATGCTGAATGCAGGAAATGACGCACCAACAGTCCACAGCTGAAATATGAAAGACATTTGACAATCAATATTTAACTTCTTAAGCAACCTTCGAACACTAAATTTTGGAGGGAGAAAAGGGCATATAACATATTATACTAATGTAACTGAGCTCAGTATGAACATGAATGTAGTCAATTGTTTTAGTCTAATCCCAAATCCATACAAACAAAAAGACACAATCACAAAAATATAAATAAATGAATAACTGATGGCTCCTTAATAAATCATGCGGTGTAAAATTGAAGCTGAAATGATGTAAATGGTTACAAGAACTTACATCTTTATGCTCTTTACAGACTGAATGCAAGACGAGCTGAAAAATGGTTTGAATGCTGAATGCAGGAAATGACGCACCAACAGTCCACAGCTGAAATATGAAAGACATTTGACAATCAATAATTAACTTTTTAAGCAACCTTTGAACACTAAATTTTGTGGGGGGAAAAGGCATATAACATATTATACTAATGTAACTGAGCTCAGTATGAACATGAATGTAGTCAATTGTTTTAGTCTAGTCCCACATCCATACAAACAAAAAGACACAATCACAAAAATATAAATAAATGAATAACTGATGGCTCCTTAATAAATCATGCGGTGTAAAATTGAAGCTGAAATGATGTAAATGGTTACAAGTACTTACATCTTTATGCTCTTTACAGACTGAATGCAAGATGAGCTGAAAAGTGGTTTGAATGCTGAATGCAGGATATGACGCACCAACAGTCCACAGCTGAAATATGAAAGACATTTGACAATCAATAATTAACTTCTTAAGCAACCTTCGAACACTAAATTTTGGAGGGAGAAAAGGGCATATAACATATTATTCTAATGTAACTGAGCTCAGTATGAACATGAATGTAGTCAATTGTTTTAGTCTAGTCCCACATCCATACAAACAAAAAGACACAATAACAGAAATATAAATAAATAAATAACTGATGGCTCCTTAATAAATCATGCGGTATAAAATTGAAGCGGAAATGATGTAAATGGTTACAAGAACTTACATCTTTATGCTCTTTACAGACTGAATGCAAGACGAGCTGAAAAGTGGTTTGAATGCTGAATGCAGGAAATGACGCACCAACAGTCCACAGCTGAAATATGAAAGACATTTGACAATCATTATTTTACTTCTTAAGCAACCTTCGAACACTAAATTTTGGAGGGAGAAAAGGGCATATAACATATTATATCAACGAAACTGAGCTCAGTTTGAACATGAATGTAGTCAATTATTTTAGTTTTTCATTACAGAGTTCTCAAACAATTACATATCATATAGCCAGCCTAGGCTTAGCTTAGCCTTAGCGAAGTTAGCCTAGGACTAGCAATGACAATGCAGCATTAGGCCTATACAATTAAATGTAATTATATTGACCTGTCAATATAATAAATGTTACCTACTAGATCTAGTCTATAGATCCCTAGGCCTACAAGGCATTTTTTTACAAATGATACATACAACTTTGGTATCAAGCATGATTTTTACTTTCGTCTGTTCGCTGGTTCCTCTGACTTCAGGTTATTCAGGCAGCGCATGTAGTCTAGAGATAGACCCTACAGTGTATGTAATTGTGGCGTAAATTGTTACCATGCTTAAAATTTAACGCCTACACAATACTGCGCGTACCGGGTATGCACTTTAATAAAAGCGCACAGACAAGAAAGAGTGGAATATGGCTGAATGTTGCCTAGCTCTGATTTAGAACAGTGGTCTACAGTACAGGGAAAGCCCTGATCTGGCAATATGATGGCAAATGTTGCCCGTTACGGTTTAATGTTTTTATTTTGCAGCTAAAATGCCTTGTAATAAGGTAACAATATACTAAATATAGCCTTCTAACTACTAGTGCTATAGGCTGGCATAGCCATATAGCATAGGGCTAGGAGTAGGATCTAAGTTAGATCTAAAGTTAGTTTAACCAAGACCAAGTTTACTGTTTAGATTTAGATCTAGACTAGAGTAGTCTAGCTAGGTCTAGATCTATCTCTAGATGGCTAGGCCACAACAATGAAACATCAGTTCCCAACAAACATTTTAGTGTTACTTAACATGAGTAGGCCTAACACCAAACCTATAAGTAAACAGTCGATATCAGAGACTGAAGCTCTCTCTACTCCCATCCACTCTTGCAACTTACACCCAATGCGGTGTATGGGGCTCTATTTAAGGAAATTTGCAATCACGAAACAAAATTGGCTCTTTCTTGTCTTTTTATCACATTTATGATTTTTTTTTTTAGGTATCATTCTGTTCATATTTTTGTAAAATTTAATTACCTGGGATTTTCGCTCCTAATACGGCATTCTTCATGAGAAAACCTCTCTCCTCGATGAGAGTAATACCCTGGAGACGGTTCGTACAAACGACGATCGGGCGCTAGCAGCCGATGAAAATATATCGCAGAGCACTAAAAAGTGGCCCTTGACTTTCGCGGGCGAATCGCGACGCTTCGTAAAACTCCACACAGTGCACATAGCTTTGAGATGCGTTTTCACGAAGCGTCCTGCGAGTACACACAGTTTACGGGACAGTTCGTGAAAACGGACTTTGTCAATCATAACTACCTTACGCGTTTCGTGATGTCACGTATGACGTAACTAGACAATTTCAGACTCTAAAAATTTGTGAAATTGTAGGCATTATGATACTTGATTCGAATATCGAAAAAAATATTTTATTGAATTTACATCGATTTTTGCCTCTTGGGACACTTCGTAAAAACGGTGACGATTTGATGTATATCCTTACTAACCCTTACTACTTTATTATAAACCATTCAATTAATTATTTTAAAAAATAGGAAAAGAATAGGAATTCACAAATCGTACCTTTGATTAAGTCATTGTCCTTTTCAATCTTTTTCACGTTCTCCTGCCTGAAGGCGAGTTGCCAAAGTGCTTCTGCTGCGTATCTCTTTTCTTGCGATGAACAGTCCTTATTTAGCCCCATCTTTAGCATACTTGATATGATGGTGATGCCATCCTTCTCGGCGATGAGGCGCTTGTTGTCATCATTGATTGCAAGCTGCTTGATGCCCTGGACGAGCTCGATGGCGGAGAAAGTGAAACCTCTTATGAATGCGTCGGTGCCGGTGCTTCTGGTAATCCGGATCTTGTGCTCGACGTTCTCCAGTGATTGCCTGAGCAGCGAGAGAAGGTTGTCCACACAGGCAGAATTGGTGGGAAGCTTATCGGCCTCCTCCTTGTCAACCATGTACGAGAGAGACATGAAAGCACATGCTTGGACAATCGGGTCTTCTGATGCTGTCAACTTCTCCAACGCGGGGACGATCTGTCGATGGCTCCTCCGAATTGCCTCGATCCTTCTACAGGTGTTGTGCAGGATGTTCAGGACATTGAAGACAATTTCTGTGGCCCATTTGTTCAAGGTTTTGTCCTGGAGTAAGAGCATCCAGTCCACCAGGACTGTGAGTGTACCTTCTTCTTCTATCTTCAAACAAAAGGCATCTTACTCATCTGTATAGTTCCAGCAGATTCCCGCCAGAGCGCGGTAGAATACGAAGGACTGTTGCGCCTCCTTAATTAAGGTATCCGTCTCTGACGCATTGGTGAACATCTGCAGCAATTCTTTCTTCTGCCAACATGATATGAGCATTCGAGAGAAGCTGGTGCGTTCTGCCGTCAGGTCACCAATTCTCTCTTGGTGCAAGGCAGAGTTCCCAGAAATCAGTTTAACCAAAGCCACTTTACTAAGACACGTGTCACATGGAATTTTCGCGCAGCTCTCGACGTGGTTGACGGCGTTGATGATCTCGTTGAGCTGTTCCTGAAGATTCTCTGGAACTCCTTCCATGACATAAGGCGTTTTTGATGCCATCGAACCTTCAGATCGAGGACTTCTGATCGAGTATTTCGACGTTTGGAAGAAGATGTAGTCTCAACTGTGGGGCTCCAAAAGAATGGAACACGCTGTGTGGATCCACGACCTTTTTATAGCTTCATACGGATCCTGTGAACGAAATGTTGAAATGATATTAAAATGTATTGCAACATACCATCAATTTCGAAATCGAGTTATTATCTTAGTGATTCCTCTACTCTCACTTCCGGAAAAGTGGTCGTTTTCCTCCGGTATGACTTCGCCTTCTAGTTCAAGGTCCAATTTATTTTATGGGTTGGACTTAATTGTTTATATTAACATTTTGTCTGTATATGTATGATCAGCAAAATATAGATGTGTCATTACAGAATGTTCACCCTTCTACCATTTCTTTTTTTTCAGTGACATGATAACATTGTTGAATGTTAAAGGACGTTGTGATATTTCTTATCATTGATCAATGATTCGACTTCAGATTATAGAAAGCTAATTCGATCCGTCGAAAGTGATATTCCCATCTATCACATTGGCTAGGTTGTACCCGCGATCAACATGACAAGTGTGTAGGTATATCAATTAATTATCAAAGTAAGGGAGTTTTTGTTAGAAGACAATTAGAATTGGTCCTTTTCAAAAATTATTTTGATATTAATTAATTCATTAATTTGCTTTTCCTCCTTAGTGCACCTAGGTCACTTAACGTGCGTCCCAAACAAAACAAAACAGAGAATGTTCGATGTTTTATCATAACTTAATCATAATTATAATTAATAAATGACACCTATTTGTAAAGCTTAGATCTTCTTCCTTCATTTGATGCAACTCAAATGATGCATATTTCACGCATGAATGAATAAAAACAATTAGAAGAGAAGGTACCAAAAATTCATTTGGCGAACGGTATATGAATTTCAAAAAGAAAATTCCATTTCTAGAAAGTTCATTTTATGCCCTTTTATATGACACCTCGATCAGGAAAAATGAGCCAGGAATAACAAAGTTCTTTTTGTTTAAAGTAATGCTTGCATTTCCATGATTTGATTAAACGAATTTGTTTTCACTGGCTGCCTGCCGTAGCAACAAACAGAGTTGACAAAAGACTTAACTCCCTTTCTTTAAAGATCAGCCACGCATGTGAAGTCTTCCATCTTCCTGAGAACACCATAATCCACTGATGAGCTTGCCGATTTTATATTCTCGAAATAGTTCAAACGTTCATAACTCTCTAATTTAGTTCAAACTTTCGCGTTTCTTTTTTTAGAGCAATTTACCTTGATTGAGGGTGGATTTGTCTTTAAATATTCTTAAAAGGAAATCAAATTGAACGCAAGTTGTATACAAAAGAGTAAACGCGTTAAAAACATAAAACAATGTAGTATGGCTGCATATGATAAGTCCATTGCTAAATACACCGGTTTTTTCAACATTGTATTGCAGAAATAAAAACTTAAAGCGAATCGAAAAAATTAATTAATCTAAATTGTCTTCCATACATGCACCTTTATATCCAAAAATTAATTAATTTAAAATGTCTACAATACATGCACCTTTATATCCATGTTTTTTGTTCTCATACACTTAATTTCAATGCATTCAAATAATCTTTCGCTGTTTGTTTATCTATTGGTTCAGTTATCATTGTCTTGCCCTATTATGCTTTCCGTGATTCGTTTGTTTGTTTGTTTTGTGTTTTGTGTTTTGTACCTGATATGACTACTATAAAAGCATGTGAATGCTTGTAGGTAAGCAACATGGGGACCGGTGGCTCTAAGTCCTCTCCAAGGGATTTGGTAATGAGGAGTAATGCCTTACCTAAGGGCATTAGCGCATCGACTTGGTTTCGATACGATACTACTGCTCTACCACTAAGCCATCGCGCCTCCCTAATTTAGGGTTTCTCGAATATGTGGCTCCTCTTATTCTATGTATTAATTAGTTACATAATACATTAGGAAGTGTTTCATTTAAAGCCTATCTGCACTAGTTTGGCCATGGGATTAGATCTCCCTGCAAGGTCGTGCACTGACAGCTGGCTATCTCATCAAATCAGCTCTCAATTAACTTAAGAAAAAAGTGACCATGGGGGACCATAGGGACCAACGGGCCAACGTGTACCGCTTAGGCAGTGTTCGTTATATAGAGGGCGCAAGTAGCTGCAGGTAGTGCAGTCCCGCTTTTACAAAAAAAATACAAAGGTCTTTAGCCACATGTAAACTGTATGCCACACACTGTTCACACCGGCAGAAATAGCGCGCGCTAGACCGCGCTATCTCTGCGGTTTGGAAGGTACAACGTCGTTTCGGTCCGCCCAACAGCGTGCCACGGCGAGCCAAAACGGCGTGCCACTGGAGCACCTCCTGGGGGTGGTCCACGAGAGAGAGCGCGGTCTAGCGCGCGCTAGAAAAAAGGGGGTGCTACGATAGACCGCGCTATCTCATTGCGGTGTGAACAGCCTACTCTACTCACCTCCTATCCGCTATCTGCGTATATGAGGCTGTTCACACCGGCAGAGATAGCGCGCGCTAGACCGCGCTATCTCTGCGGTTTGGAAGGTACAATGTCGTTTCGAATGGCGTGCCACTGGAGCACCTCTAGGCTGTTCACACCGCAATGAGATAGCGCGGTCTATCCTGGCACCCCCTTTTTTCTAGCGCGCGCAAGACCGCGCTATCTCTCGTGGACCACCCCCAAGAGGTGCTCCAGTGGCACGCCGTTTTGGCTCGCCGTGGCTCGCTGTTGGGCGGACCGAAACGACGTTGTACCTTCCAAACCGCAGGGATAGCGCGGTCTAGCGCGCGCTATCTCTGCCGGTGTGAACAGCCTCTTGGGGGTGGTCCACGAGAGATAGCGGGGTCTAGCGCGCGCTAGAAAAAAAAGGGGTGCTACGATAGACCGCGCTATCTCAATGCGGTGTGAACAGCCTCTCTGACTCCAAAGATTGTCTGAACATCTGATTCCAGAAAACTACTGTAAGCATCGACTTCACTAATACAAAGTACTAACGAGGAACGTTATGTCAGCTTCTATGAAACTGTTATCTACTGACTGACAACTATACAGTCAAAGCTAGCTGCGTTGATTCTTTTGGAAACAATTAATCACCCGCCATATTAATCATGTTTATAACTCTCGCTTTCACTGCGGTTATCATACTAGAACGATGAGGAAGGATGGAATAGGGGCGTTTACAGACATTGGATAACAGGGGGGGGGGGGGGGTCATCTCCTGAGGATGAAGGGAATACATATGAGTAGCACTGGGCAGTGCATATACATGTTATAAGAAGTCAATGGCCATCACAATTTAAGGAAGGGGTAGGGGGCTTGGGCCGACCCCCATTCCCCCATGCTCTTTCTGGAGACGCCACAATGTTTGAAATACTCATCTATCTTATCTACCTTCATTCTAGCTTTCTCTTTTTTCTCTCTCTCTCTCTCTCTCTCTCTCTCTCTCTCTCTCTCTCTTTTCCTCTCTGTCTCTCCCTCACTTCCTTCCTCCTCCCATCCATATGTTATGTTTCTCGAACTGTATGCCCTTACCATTAATCAAGACTGTTTTCATGTACTATTCGATTGCTATACTAACATTAAGCGATGACCATAACTTTTCCCTTTTACTTTTCATTCATCAACTGACGTAGCACTACCCAACCCCTTCTCTCTCTCTCTCTCTCTCTCTCTCTTTCCCTGCGCGCTCTCTCTCTCTCTCTCTCCCTCTCTCTCTCTCTCCCTCTCTCTCTCTCTCTGAGTACCGTCCTTTCTGTTTCGTACTATGGAAAAGAAAACAAAACTCAGTTTCCTGCTACATAACATCAATAAAGATGGTCTTTCAAGTTTCAAGTTCAAGTTTCAAGTTTTATTTATCTTTCTTTCATAACACACTTTACAAATATGACATGAATATAACAAGTCGTGTGTACTAAAGGCTCTTGAACCTGGTTTAAGGAAGAAAAGATAATATGTTAACTGGCAAACAGAATGAGTTCATAATTGTAGTTCCCCATCAGTTCCCGATACTACGGAAGCGTTAAAGTGCCACTATACTTGAGGACATGACGAGATATTTCATCTTGTCAAGTCGACTTAATATCCATATCATGTCGACATGTAAAGATATTTAACCTACCATGTCGACTTATCAACTTTTATTAGTCGACATGGCGAAATAAATTATCTTGCCAAGTCGACTTCACAATAAGTTCATGTGGATATTATGTGGATATTAAGTCGACTTGACAAGATGAAATATCTCGTCATGTCGTCAAGTAGAATGGCACTTTAACGCTTCCGTACGATACAGATGTAGGCCTAATATTCTTTTTAAAAAGTTGCTTCAATACTTCAAATCAAGGTGTTTTTTTTTCTGACGGATTATCACCAAACGTGAAATAGATAAGTGGAAGTCGTAACGTTTCAGGTGCCACAGAAAAAACACGATTTAACCCATCATCGTTCCGTCATGCTCACGCATGCATGGGCGGCAGCATGGGCGTGGAAAGACGTTTATCACAATCGGCGATTCGATTTATTTTCTTCTTCTGTTTGTGTGTTTGTTCGTTTACCTTGTTGTT